TGAATACTAACCCTACCCTGACTGAGTCCAGTGGCCCATATTTAGCAAAGATCTGAAGATTAAAAAAAAAAAAAAAAAAAAAAGCTGTTCAACCCTATCTGCAAATGTTGTCTCATCTTCGTAGGTTTCCCTAGACCTATGACTAGACATCTTCATGATCCAGGAGTCTTCAGGCTTGATATTAGTGTATTTAATTCTAATTGCAGTGCTAACCCCAGCCCTATCTACAAGCTAATGACCATATCCTTCCCATACCTAAAAATTAACCACAAGGCAACAACAGATTTAGTCATCAATTTGCTATTCTGCAAAACCTGTAGAATTAAACTGTTCAGCACTGGCCATTCTATAATCTAACACCTATAAGCAAGTTTTTTGATCGGTGTTACTGTAGACTAGATAACACATTTGTCTCTACTGATGCCATCTCTAATTTAACGCTCTGGCCTAACAACAGCCATATTAAGCAAGTGCTTCAAGTATTTTAACTCCCAAATATCAACTTTTACCCTAGTCTTATCCACAGCTCAACACCAACACGTAACCAAAAGGTTACCAATACGCCCTTCACGTCCACTGGCATTAGCTCACTCAATCCTAATGAACCTGCAAGACTCCAACAATAACTCAAGTTCTCCAGCACCTGCTGTCCGAAACACTAATCCCCACTCACCACACTTCCAAGACTTTCTAGATTCAGCAGGTTCTTCTATCCTTACCATCCTGAAACCCTAGTCTATCTACAAAATTAATCATAACTTGCTCACCTAAGCAAACGTCAGCATTCATCCTACTCTTGGGCCTCCTAGAGGAGAGGAAGGAAGGGGCTGGGGGGGAAGCAAAGTAAAAAAAAAAAAGAAGAAAAAAAATAAAAGCTCAGAAATCTCTACCATCTTGAAGCCTAGGCTTAGCCCTAATCCTAACCCTAACTACAGCTCACCACCCCTATATCCCCCTCCAGAACTAACAGAAAGCTTTCAAGCAATGCTGGCACCAGCAGGATTTTCATCCTGCCAGCATGGCTCTTGCAGAAGCTAGCTCTGAATCCAAGTCTTGTCATCTAAACTGAACCCTAGCAAAGCGACAAAAAACCTGGCCACAGAACTGACAAGAGGACTTTCAGTCATTTCCACTTGAGAGAAAACTGCAGGAATGGTTCCTGCCCAAAACAGCCCCCGCCCCAGTGCAAGGGGCTTTGCAACATTCAGCAACATGCCAGATTTTTGCACTCCTACTGTAGAGGACAAACTCTCATCTGGGAATCTGATCCTTTTGCTGCAATGTGGCACATATCTGGGAGGAAAGGGGACACATGAACCCACAGGAGAAATTCTACCCAGTCTTCTTCTTCCTTCTCCCTTCAGAAATTTCTTTGGTCCCTGGCAGTGACAGGGAAGAGCTAACCTATATAAGAATAGAGGTAGAGTAAGTAAACAGCACATACAGCCCAGGCTGTGGCACACACTGTGCACACAGTATCAGCTGTTTGCTAGGAAGGGGTTTTCTCCTCTTCAGCCCCCAGTCTTCTCAGGAGACACAACTGGCCTAACTGAATTAACTAGCTGCCTCTTTCTTCCTGAGCTCAGGCAAAGAAGCCATGACATCCAGGTGCAAGATGGACAGCCATAATCACGTAGTCATCTCAGGGCAGGTAAGGGCATCTCACCTTGAAAACAGTTCAAGTGCAGGCACTTTAGCCAACTTTGACCACAAGCTGAGAGTCAACAAAGCAGGCAGAAGAATGAGAAGATCACGCTGGAAGTTGGGAGTGAAGGCTCTGCCAAATGGGGTTAGAACAGGACTGACATATACCACACAGGGCTTTGGGGCAAATCATGGTGTTGGGAAACATGCACATGTGGAAGGAGAAGCAAAGCATTACAGAAAAGGCATTAATCTAATAGTAAGAGATGGAGCTTCATTTTCAAGGCTTATTGCAAATAGCACAACCTCATTCAGTTGCAAAAATAACACTGAGATTAATGGGTCACTTCCTCTTCCCCCTCCAGTCTCTTATATTCTAGAAGAATATGTAAAACCCCTTTACACACTTATCCCAGATCTAGTGTGGGGACTTTACGTGCCCACAAACCCATCTCTTCTTGCCTTCTTGACAGCACAGACACATCTCCCATATGCTTCTTTCCCCCTGTACCACAGTCCTTTCAGGTTTATCAGAGGTATGAAGTAGCAATGAAGGGAATGAAATTATTGTATTTGTGTATTTGAGAGAAACACCTGGGAGCAGCTGTGAGATGAAAGTCATCACAGCAAAAGCTGATTCTGCCTCTCAGTATACCAATTATATCATCTCAGGCTCAGTGGCATAGCCCCCAATTAAATGCAGCCAGAGCAAACAGACATCTCGCTGAAAACATAATATAGACATCACTACAAAAGGTGACAGACTTGTTACAATTGTTTTCTTTCTAGAGCAGCCTTCAAGGTTGCAGCTTGCTATATTAGATCATCATATGACATTCTAATAGACCTTTCAGTAGTTATGCATAAAGATCTAGACCAATGTATATTTTTAATGTGTAGCAGGTATCTCCTTATCACAGATAATCAGTTTTATAGTTCATGCAAGCCATCTCTTCAACACATTTGTAAATACTGTTCACTACCATTCTGATGTACAAACCACAGTTGTTTGGTTTTCTTTCCTAAAACTAATTACAAAAAGTGGGGTTTTTTTAATCATAGCACAACAGACAACTTCTGGGGGATCGTCAACAAAACAAATATTTGCTCCTAATTTTCTACGCTGATCATTGCAAAAGTAAGACAAAAGACTATTCCTCAGTGAAAAAACAAAACAAAACAAAACAAAAAAACCCCCACATTCCAAATGCACTACACATTCAATGTGTAAAAAAACATTTAGAGCTCAAAACAACTCAAACTGTTTCCCTGAATAATCATTTCACTGCAAGAAACACAGATACATTAAGGAAAACTAGTTAGGAGAAACGAAGGAATAGAAAACTAGAATGTTTTCTATTTGAATTGTGACTACAACAAAGTGACTGACTAGAAAATGGAAAACACCCACTCAGATATACTTGCTTGCATCCTATTTTCAGCCTCTTCACCTAGTTTCCCCTCTGGAAAACCCTGGCTGCAGGAGAAGTCACACAGTCTGGCATACCTAAAATGGGGAGCATATTTTCATCACCACACGTCTGCTTTCACAGCACAAAGTCAACTAAAAAGTCCCAAATGTATTTCTGGAAACCTGTGACACATCATAACACTGGTTTGCGTCTACCCCCACATCCATGCTCAAAATTCACTCAGGAAGCAGACTTTAAGCTGTACAGCCAACACATCAACTTCATCTCCATTCAGTCCCCCGGGGACCACCTGCCAACAGGGAACTGGAACAAGGTCAACTTGCAACTAGCAAGTGGGTGGCCCCAGAGTGGTAAATGACGGAATTTCAGCTATCACGTGGACTAACAAAATCTACTGACATCAAAAGTTAAAATAGTGTATTGAGTCTTTGTTCCATTAGATTGCATTCATTTGATCAATCAGGTTCTCGAACTGGGGGAACATCATTTCCACTACTCCTCAGCATGGGCATGAATGTCCAGTTACCCAAAACTCACCCTCTAAATTTCCCAGCCTTCAACTGGTACTGCTAATCTAGCCCTGTGTACTTGACAAATTTGAAATTTTCAAGCCCTCACTCACCACTGCAAACAGAAATGAAACTTCACAGGCTAGACAGTTAACTATTTAAGGAATCAGAAATTTTGTTCTTGATGCTTTCTTTAATAAACCAACCTTAACCATAATTTTCACAGAGGCTTTCAGAGAACAAATAAAGTTAGTTGTACAGTGTTCAATAAAACACATCCTTTTGTTAATCTTATAATATTATAGAACACCAGTACCCATTAAATACTTAAAATTATTGCTACACTTTTAAGGAAAATTTCACTCCTCCGTACAATTCACAGCTAGATCAGCTAAAAGTCCTGAACTGAGGAGAAAAATCTGTGTAGAAATTAGATGTCTGAACAATAAGCTGCATGTACTACAAGCACCTCAACCTTAACTGTTACATGTTTCTATAACTATTATACACGTACAAGGTCTGTGTCTGGAGAAAGCCTGAAGAATTAAACCTGATGTCCTCTTCCGTAATTTCAGAACTGGTGCAGAACTGAGGTGCCAGCTGCAGCAAAGTGACAGCAACACTCATAAAAGTGAAGCAAAATCACCAAGGGATGTGGCATGGGCTCCATCTAGAGGAGCGCACCTTCATTCTGTGTGGCTACTGCTGAACCACTGACCTCCACACAAAGTGGGCAAGAAACAGAACTGCAGTGTATTATAGTGCCTGGGAATTATGCCCTCTCATGTGCTTACAGTGACCTTTGAAAAGCTTAATACTCCTGATGTATACTGTAATTATAAGTAAGAAAGCGTATCTTTAAAACAGAGGGGTAGTTGGTTGGTTGGTGGGTTGTGAAATCTGACTGAACAAAATGATAATCGGTTCTTTATTGTTTCTGGCAAACAGCTGACCAACTGAAAAATCAAATATTCAGCACATAAATGTAAGCTTCTGATAGGATATTGAATATAACAAACACTAAGACTTCTACTTCTTTGCAAGCTCAAAATACTAGATGTTTTATTTTGTTCTAGTTACTCGGTTTTATTCCATATTTAAAATGTAGCTTTTAAGGGATTAAAACATTTTCATACCTTCTAAATGTTTTAATGAAAAACAAAACATTTTAATTATTTCAGTATCCATTAGCAGCTGACTAAAAATATAAGAACAAAAACAATACGAAAGAGGCCAACATTTAGACCCATTTTACAAACACAACTGGAAAAGATACATAGGATACTTCAGTATCTAATGGCCTATTAATGTTTAAAGCAAAGAAAAAAAAAATCTGTGTTTTTTCCAAAGTACCTAAACATTAATTATAATATTACCCTCCTAGCCAATGAATGTGACAGCGGGCAAGACCTACCTGCGGGCTCGTCTTTCTAAAAGGGTCAGTTCCATGTATCACGTCACTTATTAATTTTTCTCTGAGATTATTATACTCCTCTTCGGTGAGCTCAATATCCTCCAACTGATGGTTGCAAACTGGGCACTGTCCGCTGTAATAATAGTGAAACAAGAAAATAAAAGGATAAAGGCTTTTAAATAAGAAATACCTAAAATTTTACTAACTTATTGAGTGTCTGTGTATAAGCACAATTCTTTACAAGAATTCCAGCGCAGTACAATCATCAGAAAATTAGTTGTACTCTTTCTGGGATGCATTCAAAACCTACTAAAGTCACTAGAAATATTTTTATGTGATTTAGTGTTATCAGGATCAAAGATTTAATTCTAGAGAAGTTTGAGGATTTAGGACTGACATTCTGCATGTGAGCATGGGGAAATAAATAAATAAGAGTATTTAAATATTCACCAGCATTTATTTAGCCCTTGAGAGATCAGAGTTCAATTCTCAGCATTACCACAAATTTCCACATCTCTAATATTTGGAAGTTTCCTTACTACAGAGGAAAGTCACTATGGATACATACAGCCCAGATCTCAATGTGAGAAGGTGATGCACTTGCACTGGCACTGGCCTGGTCAGAACATATGAAGTAGCTATAGGCAAACTAGATGAAGCTAGAAGGCAGGCCACAGAGCCTTAGTCTAGCTATAAATCCATTCCGAAGTGTTACAAGAAAATGCACCAGTGAAATGCTTCATTATTGTGCCACTGACTGCTCCTACAAAAAAGCTAAGCTGTCTGTGCCTGGTTTATCAAGGTTTAGAATAACCAAACCTGCCACAGGTGTAGGAATAACCTCATCCAAAAGAAGAGAAAAAAAAAAAAAAAACAAAAGGAAAGAAAAAAAAAGAAAAAGAAAAAAGGTAACCAGGTAACATAAATCTGCTGTATGGTTGGAAAACTAAGTAATGAGCAGGATTGCCTTCTTTGTGCTACTTGCCTTTTGCTATCAGACTTCCCTTTACTTCTAGGTTAAGACTGTTCAGACCTCTCCAAGGTGGTCAAAATGAACAGACAGAGCAATGTGACTAAAACAGAAATGAGAGAAATGAAAGAAAGAACAAACAAGTTTTTTAATATTTAGCCCTTTCTGTTGCTACATGTCCCACAGCCATGACCTCTGCCCTAACACAGAGTCTGAAGGAAATCAAACTGGAATTGTCATCGCTTCCATGTCCCATTTGTTCATTCTTTTCTTTCCTTGTTGTCTCTCCTGTTAGCCCCTATAAACTAAACACATAACCAACACAAGGCACAGCTCCTTACCCAGGGCAAAAATGTATGTCATGCATCACTACCATGAACCTCTGGGTCCACCACAAAACCAGCATGTAAGGTGGAGTAACAGCGGAGGACTGAGACAAAACCACCTGCAAATCTGTGCCTGAATTGTGAACTACATTAACCTTTTTTTTTTTTTGTCCTAAAAAGCTTATGTGAAAGTTTTGCAGATAAACTTTTTAAAGACAAACCAATGAGCTACAAATATACATAGACTTCATGGGTACACTTCTTGACTTGCATCTCTAATTGTGGGTTGAACCTAGAAGTTTTCCCAAGACTAACTCTTTAATAGCTACATGAAAAAGGAAAAAGAAATGGCCAGATAGTACCTTAACATACAGTAAGGAAATTCACAGTCAATCACACTTGTTCTCAAGCTCTTCTGCCAAGAATATTAGACATGAGATTAATTAATTAACTGCAGCATGTGAATAATATCAGTTTTCAGGAAGATACTCATTTACACACCAAAGCTTCTCTGTTAAATATAATGTTAAACAATGGTATTATAAAGCCAACCAAAAATGTAAGTCTTTAATTCCTAAACAGTAAACAAATAAGCCACCCAGTAAAATGGCAGCTCTTATTTTTCTCTGCATTTTCTGTCATGGCTCTGCTTAGCATAACTCCTTTCCAAATATCCATGTTGGGTCTTGTTTAATGAAAAAGAATGACTTGGAAATTGGTATTTGGGAAATCGTATGTACATAACAAAGGTTCATACTCTCAGGGATTAAAATATTTTCTTATACAAGCAAAGCGATTTTTTATATTTATGAAAGAAGAGTTCAAGAGAAAATAATCCAGACCACCTCACTTTTAAATAAAATGTTGCACTTACCTGTCTTTAATGTTGGTCAGGTGTCCTCTCCAGTTCCCTCCTGGAATACTAATATGTAGAGAGGGAAAGATTAAAAAAACCATTAGATTCCTACTTAACAACACCTGAATTACAGATAAAGAATAATTCTATTTTGATCAACATTTAGAAATAAAAGACCAATCAATCATCTACCCTGCAAAGATTCATATGTAATTTAGCAACACCTGAAAATATTATATAAAGAACCAGCATTCAACAACATGCAGAGAACTAACACCATCAACCTACCCAGTTAATGTTGTCCCTAAACATTAAGAACCATACAAATAACCAGGCTGCACTGACAATTTTTAAGCTGCTGCCCCTACACATTCATAAAGCACCTCAGAAACCAGATGGGAAAGCAGAAATCAAGATTTCTATGCAGATGTCACCCTGAGACATTAAGAAAAATATGCTCATACCAAAATGCTGCACTGAGACTTTTGGACTCCACATCATTATAATCATCACCACAACTACGACAGCTGCAATCAGGCAGGTGTAAATCTTCCTTTTTGCTCACAAGATCCAAAATGGAATAAGTTGCAGAATAGGAATACCCATGCCAACATGCAACTGCAGACACCTCTCCCTTTGCCACTGTGTTCATTATTATAGGCTACACAATCACGCGTGGCACAGGCTTTGGAATAACTGCCCTGCTCCTGCCCTCCTCTCACATTTCTCACGCCGATGCATCGCAGTTCTTTAGTTTTCTTACAAAGACAACAGACAACAGAAAATACTGTGATTCTTTGTTGCACGCTCAGATCTCTGTATTGGATCTGGCTTTACTTACATTATTCTAAGTCAGTGCTGATATGCTCTTCAGAACAATAATTTTTAAAAACTAAGACATATTCAGTTACACTCACAGTGCTCACATCTGTGCTTAGTGTACCATCGGTTTCGTTTGTCAGCAAAAGTTACCTCTCAATCTGCATCATTTTTGCAAGACAGTGCTAGAAGTTATCAGATTCTATTTCTTTTTGGGAACTCCACATAAACTGCTTACTTATTTTCAACCACCAGCATATACAAGTTCAGCACTAGCAATGAGAACAGACAGGTAAAACTAAGCATTTTGTACAGTTTCACAGACAAAAAATCAGGTGGGATAACCGATCACCTAGTTTCATCCCTCTATTATGGACTCTGTATCTTCTTGTTTGAAACACTACTTCCTTTAGGGAAACACCCAACATTGATCTTAAAACATGAGTCTATCACAACCTTTCATGAACTGTTCTAAAAGTCAAACACAGTATAAGACAGAAACAGGAGTTTGTCTAATTTCAGCTTGCAGCACTGGTTTGCTACCATATACAGGCAATATATTGGTCTTCAATGGGCTCACTGCCCCTGTAGTCTCCTTTCCAAGGACTTTTAATTATGCTAAGTTTCCTGCACATGCAGCACACACCTACAGGTAAATCCTTCTCTACTTACTGGAAAAGCAGCACCCCACGACAGATTTTCACCCACTAAACCAGTTCATCTCAACTGAAGCCTGCTCTCTCTGCTCCCTCATTGTTCCCAGGAAATAAAATAGCTAGGGGACAGCAGTATAAACCATTCTAATAATGGTAGTGCATTCCTACAGCTGTATTTTCCATCCAGGAAGATTAACTTGTAAAATGGTTGTGTAGGTCACATAAACCAAAGCTGACAGTTAAGAAGTCATAGAATGGGCTCCCATACAACAGCATAAGTATGCAGTGGGCTCGGGTGAACTACACTATGCATGCGCAGCGTACCTAGTTGTAATCTGCAGGGTCTGACCATCACTACTCATGAAAACAAACTGTGTAGCCTGCTAAATACTGTGCTAAAGCAAAGAGCCTCCCATTAAGACTATTCCTTTCTTATTATTCTATATAAAGTCAACACTTTAATCTTCACTTAAACCATGTTAAATTTGCTGCCTCTTTCCTTTAAAAACTATCTACTTTTCAAGTAACTTACTACTTCTAGACTGTGATAGATTATAGGAAAAACCCTCATACCTGTCAATACTCCTAATGTATCAACCCCAGAAAGAGGTGAAGTCAGAAATTTTGGACAGCCATGACCTAGCACAATTTCCTACTTTCTGTAAAAAGGAATATTTAAATCAAGAAGAGGTGAATTCAGTAAGAATTTTACACTTTTACACTCATCTCGGAACAAAAGTGTGTATTTTCATGACAATGTGTCTCTCACGAAGAAGCAACACCAAAATGAGATGTTGAGGGATCTTATTAGACTTGATCTGTGGAATAATCTGAATCCCATTCTTATGAAATTAAGCTTGCTATTGAAACATTATTTACCTTTCAAACCACAGCTTTATACTCTCCATAAATGTTTTGTGAGGGTATATTTGGTTGTTTCTCAAACGTAAGAGAATGCCAAACAGCTCTTTTTGTAACTCAGCACCTTCCATACCCCTGCTGAAGTCAAAAAAGGCCTGCAGGACATCCAAAGTTGGGACCAAATCCTTAGCCAACATTTCATGGTAAAGTTCAAATGCAAGTTCCATTTCTTGGTGACGGCTGGCTGCTTTGATACAGGACTCATAGTTTATCCGTGAGGGAATCATAGTCTTTTTTACTTCTTCCAAAAGAGTCAAGGCCATTTTCCATTGCTCTGAATCACTCAGCCCCCTGATGAGAAGGTTGTAAGCCCCACTTTCTAAAACTTTAAATCTGATTTTCATTATATCATACACATCATGAATTTCTGAAGTCTGTCCCTGCTGGACACACAATGACAAGTATTTGAGCAACAAACTATATGAAATGTCACCACTACTCTTTGCTACATGGGTCAGCAAAGACTTAGCCACATCAATGGGGCTATTGCATCTGACCATACTGTTAAGCATCACTTCTTCAAATATTTTGGGTGACTGAAAGTCTTCCTTTAGCCTGTTCCATTCCTCATCCTGCAAAGGCTTTTCTGGAGGCTGTACTTTGGCAAACTTCTGCTTTGACAGAACTTGACTCATTAACTGTTTCTTCGGAGCTTCAACAGAGGAAGAAAAGTAGAGTTTCCCATCAGATATTTCTTTAGTGTCCTCATCCCATCCTTTTTCTTCTTCATAATCAATTTCAGACCTTTTCTTAGTAGAAAAGACAGCAGGTCCTTTGGGATCCACTGGTAATGCACTGCTGGAAGACGTCATAAAACTGAAATAGCTAAGCTTTTCCCTGTTGGGGATGCTGAAAGACATAGCAAACAGTTGTTGGCATCTTGAAACGGGCCAGAACATCCGAAATTTCCATAGCAAAGCCTGAAAAACCTGTTGACGAGTTTGAGAAAAGAGTGCCATCACAAGAATAAATTATCTATTAGCTCACCGTACCTAATGAAATTATAAAACAGAAAATGCAGTTTGCATGGGGACATTTATTATAAAAGCTCAAGGGCTGTCAAGTTGTATAAGCTTCAGTTTCAAAATGCTTTTCTATGAGTCCTTTCTGCCTCTTATGAAAACAAGAAACAGTAACATCTTTTCTTCACAAAAATCAGTATCTTAAGACTGTGAGGACATCCATCCAAGATGAGGGTATCTTTCTTTCTAGAGGAGATGCTTTACAGGTTTTCAGCTTACGATTTGTTGGTTACAATAAAGATGAGTATGTTGTATGCAGACAGGCAACTCTGATGAAGCTAGGCAAAAAACACAGTTTTTTTTCTTCCTGCCCTCATCCTAGTCGAGTCAGAAGGTTTCCTAAAATTAAAAATAACACCACAACATCACCACTTGTTCCGTGCTTTCCTGTCATATTTACATCTGCATGCTAGCAAACACAAAGTTCAAGGTACCGTGACAATTTCAGGTCAGGCACCCCAACCCCGGTCCCTCAGGCAGTCCTAGCACTGGGTTCCTACCTTGGTTCCCTCATATCTTTCAACCTGTGACAAACTTCCGTTTAACTGGTTTCCCCCCAGTCGTAAATCCTTGGAAACACCGCTGCCAAGGAGACAGAGCAACACCATCAGCAGTTATCGCAGTGAAATCCCACGTAAACGTTAACTTAGAAACGTAAGGCTGTGGAGGTTCGCCAGCAGCCGGGACGGCTCAGGAGGCCTCACGTCCCCCGGCCGCGCCCCTGGGCACTACAACTCCCAGCGTGCACGGCGGCCGAACCGCGGCAGCGCGCTGCCTGCTGGGAAAACCCCCTCTCCCCCTCACCCCTTTACCCCGCCAGAGCGCGAGGGAGCGCGGTCCTGGCGCGGGTTGCGTTTTCGCCCCGCCGGGAGGGGCCTACCTCCTCCGGTGCGCGGCGGCCGTGGGCGGCGAGGCGCCGGCAGGGAGGCGCTTACCGCAGAGGCGATGGCACGGCGTCCAGCGCGCCCGCACTGCTGCAAGCCCGGAAGCGCCGCCGGGCCCGCGCCTGGCTTCGCAGCCAATCGCGTCGGCGCGCGACCCCGCGTGCCGCGTTCAGGGCGGATGGGGCCGGTTCCGCCATGTCGGTTGCGGGCGCGGCGCTGGGAGAGGAGTCAGGGTGGGTGTGGAGCGGGCAGGACTTGGCGCATGCGCGCGGGGCCGGCGGGAGCGCGACGGTGGGGGGGGGGGGGGGCCGGCATGGACTGGCGGCGGAGCCTGCGGGGCCGCCTGGCCGCGCGCCGCGCCCGTGAGTGCCCCGCGGTGACGCGGGAGCGGGAGCGGGGCTGTGGCGGGGGGCGGGGGGGGTGCGGCGGGGCGGGCGGTGGCGCGTCCCGCGGCGAGGCGAACGCCCCTATTTCCGAGATCGGTGGCGGCAGGGGCGGGGCTGAGCGGCACCGAGGGGCCGTGAGGGCGGCGGCGCGTGCCCCCGTGGGCCGCTGCGGCTGGTAGCGCTTTGTTCGCGCGTGAGCCTGCGGGGAGCTCGTGCAGGCGTGTAGCGATACCCCTAATGTTAAAGAGCGAAAGGCGGCTTACTCTGCCGCTTGCGGTAGGCAGCATCTTAAACCAGGGTGCCTCTGTGAAACAAGACCGCTGCTGCTGCTTTGGCAGTCGTAACGGTGTATCTGTTAGTGGCGTACCCTGCGGAGAATCGGCTGTGTGCACTTCCCGAAAGAGGTGCTTTGTGGATACTCAAATAGAAATATATGTCACATTCGGCGCATCCGTTTTATAACTTACATGTCAGGCCTGTGCTCCATTCGTTTTCACCTAAAGTTTGTGTTACTAAACAGCTTAGCTGTATAAGCCTCAGCACTAACTCCCTCTCTCTCCGGGCTCTTCGTTACATTGCAACTGTTTAGAGTACAACACAATTTTTTTTTTTTTTTCTGTGTTAATCAGCCAAAAAGAGCGAACAAGAGCTAAAAGATGAAGAAATGGAATTGTTCACAAAATATTACATGGAATGGAAAGGAGGAAGAAAAAGTGACAATACATCATATACAAACATACCACGATTTTACTACAGGGTAAGTGAGGTATCCAGATAAACTTCAACAAGAGGCAGTTCTGTGTCATAAAGAAAGCTGTGCTTATTCAAAGGGACTTCAGCTTTCGAAGCTTAAGTAGACTGAAATCTGAATGATGTGGATTGCCAAGCGTAATGTTTTGTTTTGTACAAGTGTGGATTTTAGCAGTTTCAAATAATTACTAAGCATCTCATCAGAGGCCATGAAGTGGTTTGCTAATCAGGCGGCAGGCTTGCCTGTTTACTAAAGATAGTAAGTCCTCGTGTCACTCAGTGAAACGTCTTGTTTTAACTAACTTTTAATATACCAGTGTTATAAATACATATCTTCCCATTTCTGTTTAGACATGTTGGGATGCTGCTTCATGAAAACGGTGGGTCATTGGTTGTGCAGACTAAAGATAGGTCTGTTGCTTGCATCACCCAGTAGATAAGATTAGTCTGGTAATGTATGTGTGAGTTTAATCAGATTGGGATGGAGGAATATGGGATATTGCTGGCACTTGTCATCTTGACCGCTCAGCTGCTGTCTAACCTCGCATGGTCCCATATTCCTTAGGATTATGAGCTTCTGCCAATTAAGTTCTCAAGTACCTGTGTTTCAGCTGATGAATACATATGAAACCATCCAAGTTCTGGTAGTGCTGTACAGTTTTGCATGTAAACATCAGCAAAACTTTTGTGCCAGGTGTTTTCCACCTGTTCTGTTGGCCAAAACAAATCTAGAAAGACATTCATACTTTTGAGAGTCAGGCCTACCACAAAATAGAAAATGCTGCTCTCTCCTGAGTAAAAACACAGCAGTAAATGTCTTTTATCTGTGAGCCTTCCTGTCTTGCAACTGTGGGAAAGTGCTTACTGGATGGGTTATCAGGTATGAGGTAGGTCTCTGTTTCTCGTGTTAAAGATGTCATGCTTTAAATAAATACTTTAATATTGAAATAGTTTGAGACAATATGCAAGTGATATCCCTGTAGAAAGAAGCAGATACCATACAGCATTCTGGTAGATGGGTCGTTATTTTCTGTCAAGTAAGCAGCTTCATCAGTGTGTGTGTGCCAGGACTAGCTAAGAGTGCTTGCTAGATATGTAGTTTTTGAATGGTACCACGACACAAAAAATTAAAATGCCATGATATTTCTAGCTGCCAGCTGAAGATGAAGTCTTGCTTCAGAAATTAAGAGAAGAATCTAGAGCAGTTTTTCTGCAAAGAAAAAGCAGAGAGCTGTTGGATAATGAAGAGCTGCAGGTAAGAAAATATTTTCTGTATGTCTTATAATGGCTTCTGACAAGACTTCCTCTTTCTGCGGAGTTTTATCTCCTGTCTGCCCACAGAACCTGGTGGTAAGGTGCTTTGTATTTGGGCACATTGGCTGGTTGTGCAGTACTAGCTAAAGCTGAAGTGCTGCATAGTCTTGGGCTGACAATGTCAGTGTAAAGCTTTCTCATTATGATGTATATGAGGACTAAATCAATGGCTTCTGGTTTTCCAGCACATTCCAGCAATTTCCCTAGTGGCCTCAGAGAAGAAATAAGTTCTGTTTACATATCCCTGAGAGAGACTCCAAAAATGGTTGAGTTTATTGCAGTGCAAAGACAAAAGGGATGTGACCCTAGAAATCCTAGTGAATGAGAGAAAGCGTGTGTGTGTCTGTGTGTGTGTGCTGGTTTACAGGAGTGGAAATACTGCTCACTTGCTTTTTTGGCTGATCTGACGAAATTAACTGAGATAACCTTGCAGCAAAACCACATTTTTTTGCTGCATTTCTTAGATGCTCTATCTTAAGCACGTTGATATCTCTAGATACGTATCTTATTAACCAAATTAAATGCTTTTTAAGAATCTGTGGTTTCTACTGGACAAACATCAGACATCACCAGTGATTGGGGAAGAAGCAATGATCAACTATGAGAACTTCTTGAAAGTTGGTGAAAAAGCTGGACCTAAATGCAAGTAAGGCTTTCTTCTCTTGTATATGCTTACTTTGGCTAAACTTAAGTGCTGCTGTAACTTTCACTTGCTAAAATAGATGAAAACAATTTAATGGTGAAGAGAAATAATGTCCATGTAGTTATTGGTGAACTAGTTGCTTTGCATCATTGCAAAGACGTATTGCTCTACATCTCTGAGGGAACTTTTGATAAGAGATGCCTGCAAGAGCATCCTTTTGAAGAAGAAATTCTTATCAGCGTGAGCATTTTTATGATGTTGGTGGCCAATAAACAGCACATTTTGTATTTGAAGAGGAAATCATGTCTCTAGAGATACTGCCCAACCTTCCCTCATATCTTCTGATGAAAAATTTCCTACCAGCTGTTCTATGTACAGCATACAGTGAATGTTCCTTCTTTATGCTCCTGTTGGAGACTGCTCTTGCGCACATAGCTTTGTGATTGAGTTTTGGGCAGAAGCGGATTAGTTGTCAGTACTGGTGGTTCCTTTTTTGTGCATATCATTGTAGAATATTGGAATGTATTGTACTAAATATACTACCAAATATATTGTACTAAAGATAAATTGAATGAAAGCTCTCAAAACTCCCACATCACTGAAGATTATCTCATGAGCAGCAAAGGCAGCTGCTTTTTATTGAGTTTACCATCGTTATTTGGTAGGATCCCGCTCAATCAGTGTAGTGTAGCAAATTAACATCTTTGAATACACAAAACACATTCTGTATTGTTAAAACAGTATTTTAAAGTGTCTGTAAATTTTGAATACTGTAACTGATCTGTCAGCGCAGTGTAATCTGATGCATAGAAGTACCTTTGTGTTTGTTTTACAGACAGTTCTTCACAGCCAAGATCTTTGCTAAATTACTCCATAATGATCCTTATGGGAGGATATCTATCATGCAGTTTTTCAATTATGTCATGCGAAAAGGTTAGTTGATGCTTCTTCTGTGTTAGCAACAAGTTGTTTTATTTTCAATGCTATTTTAAGCTTTATTAATTATTTGCTGTTCTCTTCAACAGTGGTGAGATCTAGTCCTTGATTGCTAATGTTGTTCTCCCCTAGGCTTGGGAATTTTTCCAGTTACTAGGGGTTGGGAGTTCACCTCTGAAATCCACCTCTCCTCTCAGCCAGAAAGATCCTTGATCTGTTTGCTATATATATTGTCATTCTGATTTCCTTTATTGAGGTAGTGCTGTGAAGAGCAAAACAAAGTTACGGGGCGAGTATGATTCTAACCACTGCAATCAGACTGTCACTGTTCTGATAGTTTTGTCCACTGTTTTTCCTTCTACAGAGTGGTGTTATCTATGTTTTCTAACTGTGCTTCTCAAATATGTCAATATATGCTTGTGCTTGCCACTATAGCCTTACCATATTTTCAGCCATTTATTATAACCACTTGGGCTGAAAAATGCAGTTTTGTTTGTTTTGTTTTTTAAATCTGTACTAGACCTTGTTTAAAAAGAAGAGGCTGGCTAGCAAAAAGGAACGTTGCCTCATTGCTTTGTCCCATGGCTACTGTATTCTTAGGTCTGGTAGAGCCTTCGGGTGGGGAGAAAAGCACTTTTCCCCAGAGCAGCTCAGTTTATTTAACTTAAAATCATGTGTTGCATGGGATGAGAGATGTGTTGGAGAGGAAAGCTATTGAGTAAATGTGCAGAGTATGCAAGAAAGGAGTAATGGGCCCATTTGCAACAAACAGCAAATCATCCAGAAGGTGTGGGGGGATAGGAGGCTTGTGAAGAGGTCTGTGAAGATTGTATGCATTTCAAAAAGGCCTATCCAAATGGACACAACAGAAATTCTTTCAGAGCTTTTTATTTCATGTATTTCACCCAGAAGTTATAAGTCTTCTGTACTTACGGCAATACCTTTTTTCTAAAACAAACAAAAATGCAAACAAACACACAAACAAAACCAAACCCCCCCACCAAATTTAAGAGTGAGGAAGCCTTTTGGTGTCTCCTTTCTCAATCACATTTCATTTTCAGACTGGCCAACATAAGGTCCCATCACGGTGTGTGTTTGCAAGTCCTTCTTGGGTCAGTTGAATAAGGATCCTTGGTTTTGCTAGTTTACAGCATTGGAATTGCCTAATAAAGCTAGCCCAGTAGAATGTCTGGGCAGTAGCTGAGATAATTTCTATTGTCTGTTATACAGCATTCTGTATGAGGGCTAAAGACCAGGCCAGGTATCAAAGGAAGAAAAGACTTAAGTTCCTTTAGGAACTTTCAGTTAATACTTTAGATTGGAATTAGGGATTTCTGTCTGTATTTACTGCTAAATGTCCTTCAGTGTGGCCATGAAAAGAGAGGAAAGTAACAGACAATGAAGGGAGCTCTGCAGCTGCTTGAAGCTGATCCAAGTTGGGACAGTGCAGTCCCACATTTCACCTTGTTTTGATGAAGCTCATGCAGTGGAGTGGTCAGCCTCCAGAGCAGTGCTGCAGCAGGGAAGAGGCCATATCGCCCTGAGCTTAAAACATCTTGAGCTGCTGTGCCTCGGGTGTGTGATGATATTCTCTAACTGGCTGAACTCATTAATGAGCTTTTGGGTTTTTCTTTTATATGCTTGTTAAAGTTTTAGGAATAGTTGCATGTATTCACATAGTTGTGCTGAACATGTAGCATTCTGTCTTTCTCCTTCCTACCTCCAGCTGGAGGACTTCCAGCAGCCCATGGATTACAGTTTTTCTTCCTTTTCTAGATGATCTACATAGTCCTTTTGGGAGGGCACAAGAGAACAGTGAAGTTAGTAACTGAATAATGGTGAAGCATTTCCCAAAGCACCATCTGCCTGCAGTAACGCTCCCCCTTCGGGAGGAAGGGTGGTAGAGTCTTTTGACTTTATCCAAACAAGTCAAGCCTAGTAAAAGCGTCATGAGGTGCTTCAGGGTGTATGATGCATTTACCTTTAAACTTCAGCCAACAAAGAAACGGCCTCACTGTATAACCTCTTGTCACCTCTGAGTGATACTTAGTCCACCTTGACAAACACTTAGCTTGAAGAGATGAATGTTGGTATGAAGCACAGCTCCTATTTCATGAGAGAATCTTTTGAACTGTTTCTTCATTAAATGGAAGTTAAATCTAACATGGGGTATGTGAATAATAGTTTTTATGCCTAATCTGCACTTCATATCGGGTACTGTGCTTTAACAATGGGCTCAACCACATTGTCCTGTAGATTGTCTGATTAATGCACCTTCTCAATGCAAAAATAGATGCTTGTGCTCTTCTAATTCTCCTGTTGTAACTCAGAAGTGAGGGCAGGACCTTTGGCTGAAGCTGCAGCATCTCATGCTGCACAAGGTGCTGTAGCAATCTGACAAGCAATCTGTATATGACATTGTAGAGCTGTTTTTAATGCAGTGAAAATGTGCTGCTACACCTATCTCTAGGTCAGCAAGGGAGAACGGATCCAATGATTCCATGTACCAGCTGAGTGTCTGCTCAGCTGTTTCTCACATCTAGTTATTATAAGGCAGTCTTGGCTGCAGAGTACTATATATTGCCAGTGACTTACCAACTTAAAGACAAATGGCATTTCTAGGCAGGGCTGGTACATTATGGCTTTGCTTAAATCTCAGATAAGTGGGAAATAGGCACTTAAAGTCCAACAGTGCCTTGTGGCCTTTAGAATAACTCCAAATTTTGGTGAGGCCTCAAAAACCCCCTAGGTTTCTTACATTGTAATTCTGTTTTCTATTTTACAGTGTGGCTTCATCAGACAAGAATAGGTCTCAGTTTATATGATGTGGCGGGACAGGGCTACCTCAGAGAATCAGTAAGTAAATTCTTGATTAACTTATTGTCTGTCTTCACTCAAACAACAGAACATTAGAAAGGCTCCAATTTTCTTCCAGTTTTATCTCATAAAAACTTAAAATCTAGATTTGGGATGAGCACATTTATTTGGATAGATAGCAATCTCTATATTCTAGAGATTTAGCGTTAAGAGTGCTGCGAGCCTTTTTAACATATGGGTAATTCTCTGAAAAAGAGATCATAGATATCAAGGTTTCATGTCATTAGCACTTTACTAGATTTAGTATAGTAGAAATCACAAAAAAGGATGGGTAGAGTGGGCCTCAATTAATTATTCTCCTGTTCTAACAGGAGCTAATATTATAAAATAAATAAGAAGGTTCTACTTAAAAAAGATCTATTAAAGTATATTCAGAAATAGGATAATCCAATTAAGAGTTATGCATTGGTATTTGAAAAGGGTACGGTTGAATGCATTTATATTTACATGTAAATATCATCTACTTTGTTAACATTCTGCTTTATTTGTAGACTGTTTTAGTCATGGCATCACACGTGCATGTATATGACTTAGGATTTCTTGCACGGAGACAGAAGCTTTTTGCCTGCTTTCATGCCCTTTCCTGCATTATTGCAGGATTGTATTTTTAACAAAATACTCTTAAAAGCCAGGGTGGAATGTAGCAAACATGCAACAATAGTAGTGTTTAAAGCTTGTTTTCTTTTCTTATTTCTGCAGGATTTAGAAAACTATATTTTGGAACTTATCCCCACTTTGCCACAACTGGATGGTTTAGAAAAATCTTTTTATTCCTTCTATGTCTGCACAGCAGTTAGAAAGTTTTTCTTCTTTCTGGATCCTCTCAGAACAGGTAGGTCCATGTTTTCAAAATTCTAAATATGTGGGAGTATTTTTGCTTTTAGAGTGTTTCCACCAAAGGTGCTTGTTTTTTCAAAGTAATATGTAGTTGTCTTTGTGGGCTTTTGTTCAGCAGTCTCTTGTATTTGAAGATTAATCTCTACAGAAGACCATAAGTCTTCATGTGGGTCTAATAATCTACTTCTATACCTAATGAATTTCTAGGAGATACCCATCTGTTGTGGTATTATAGAGTTATTGAAACTGGCGAATGAGACACTGTTTCATCATAATATATCATTAGCAGTAGCTAATTTACTAAGTGTTTAGGGTGAATAGAAAACACAGCAAATAACAATAGAACTGCTTGACAGAACATGCACAGAGCTGTGGAAATGCTGAAGAATGCTTATTGTGATGTACTTCTGTGATTAAATTTGTGTGCACCATGTAAACTCATTAGAAAAGGTTTACGTTTATGGCTGCTAATCCTTGTTACACATGTAGCTCCCTTGGACAACAGTTTGCTTTTTTGTGTGCCCTTGATTTAAGTCACAAACTGCATGCATTTTCAAGATCTAGCTGTGCTACTCAAAGATGTCAGAGTTGTGTGGGCAGTAGCTTCTGGCAGAGGTAATTACAAACACGTAGAGGGGGTGTGTGAAGCTATAATGCCATTATTTTGCACAGCAGTTTGTGCAAGGTCTGCACCAGTCAAAGCTACACCAGCAGAAGTGCATTCTGTCACCTTAGCTTTGTGTCACATCTGTAGTTTCTAAATAAAAATATCGTATCACTTAAGAGACTGTTATTCCAACAAATGTTTTAAGCATGCTTTCTTTGCATTTTTTATTTCACATTTTGAGTTATGTTGAACACTTGCTTTTTTTTTTTTTTTTCAATCTAGTTTTGTGGCTTTTGAGGATTCAGGGTAACTCCTCTTTTGCCAATATCAGGCTAGTTTTATTCAGTCATTTTTAAGGCTATTTTATCTCTTAAATTACAGCCTTACCCTTTATGTTAGAAGTTGCTTTTGTTTTTTAAAAAAGGCTTTTTTTTTTTTTTCTGCTTAGAATACTTCTTTCTTGAGTAGAACCACCTAAATGAGAACAGTCGAATGGATATGTTGACTGAGTGACTGTTAAAATGTGTTTTCCTTTTCTTGCTGCAGGGAAGATAAAGATACAGGACATTTTAGCTTGCAGCTTCCTGGATGACTTGCTGGAGGTAAAGCTCTCTTAGCATATACTATTGTATTTTAATTTACTCTTTCTGAATTCTAACTTTATGTTTCACTTAGTTAAGGGATGAAGAACTTTCTAAAGAAAGTCAGGAAACAAATTGGTTTTCTGCTCCTTCTGCATTAAGAGTTTATGGTAGGTTCCTTTATATGTGATTGCTTTTTTTTTTTTTTCCTTTTTTTTTATCTCCTCTCTTCCTTGTATGATTATCCATATGCTAACGTTGTTTTTCATCTGTTCTTGTCTCTTTAAATCCTCCTGATACCTTGTCTTTTCACCTTCTGTGGCCATCCTTTCAGTATATCTTCCTGACTTTCTTTACAGTTTGGGTTCTCCACTATTGCTCTTTTTCGTTGTTTTATCTTCTGTCATTTTGTGCTTGTTGCACAAGGTACAAGATTCCTCTGTAGCCTTCCCTGTTGACTGTTCTATTCATGCTTTTGCATCACCTTTAGCTCTTTTTTCATGCTTATAGCAGATCTGTTTAAAATAATATGCTCTTAGCCTTCTTCCCCTTTCTCTGTATACACAGCTTTTACTTTTGACCCATTACCTTAGAGTAGATCTATTAACACCTTGTTATGGGAATCCTTTTTCACTTCCCCCCATGTTCTGTGCTCATTTGTGATACTCAATGAATATTATTGTGGATCTAGCATATTCCCACTTAACGCTATTAACTTTGTAGTAAAAATGAAGTAAATGTTTAAAAAGTGCTAAATTTTCTTTCTCTGAGATAGTTATTTGCTAATATAGGGATATTATGTTTTGCCCTCTATATTTCCTCCCTAGGCCAGTACCTAAACCTTGATAAAGATCACAATGGCATGCTCAGCAAAGAAGAACTGTCCCGGTATGGAACAGGGACTCTAACCAACATATTTTTGGATCGTGTCTTTCAGGAATGCTTAACTTATGATGGTGAAATGGTAATCACATATTTTCACTCTGTTCACAATATAAAAGCTTTAAAATAGAGTAGCTTGAGGGAAAGTAACTTTTGCTTATCATTGTGCACATAAATGACTCTACAGCAGATTAGAAAATTAATTTTCTAACAGCAAGGAGATCACAGCATGGCTTAAAGACAAGGTGCTTGTTTTGAAAAGCAGAGGTGATGCAAAATGCAGACAGCCTAGGATGAAGCTTCTTGTAGATTCAAAACATAAAGTGCACGTTGAAAAATTCTATAGATGTAGCAATACTTTTTAGTTACATGTAATTCTTTAAAGAGAACCGAAGACAGGAGTCACACTTGAGACTAATGCAAGCTAGCTAACCTGACCACTTCTTCATGAAGACAATGTTTTTTGTTGTAAGCTTCCCATAACTGTGAAAAACGGGAAGTCTAACTACATTGGAGTTAAAGTAAAAACTTGTATCTATATTTTGAAAGCTTTACTTAATGTATTGATACTCTTGTTGTCTGCATTCAGATGACTCAGCTCTAAAAGTGATAAATTACAAATTCACTATACAGTCCTGCTGCTGCCTTAACTGATTTTTGTAGAATCACAGAATCGTTGAGGTCGGGAGGGATCCTCTTAGTTGTCCTTTGCTGGACTTGCTACAGTAGGTCCATCTCTTCCTTGAACGAGGGAGACCAGAACAGGACCCAGCACTCAGATGTGGTCTAAGCAGTGCTGAGTAGAGTAGAAGGATCACCTTCCACAGCTTGCCAGCAAAGCTCTTCCTAATGGAGCTCAGGATGCTGTCAGCAGCCTTTGCTGCAGGAGCACGTTGCTGGCGTGTGTTCAGCATTGTTGCCCATCAGGACTCCCAGGTCTGTCTGTGCAAAGCTGCTCTCTGACTAGTCAGCCCCCGGCATGTATTGGTGCATGGGGTTATTCCACCCCAGATGCAGAACTTTGCATTCCCTCTGTTGAACTTGATGAAGCTTCTGTCAAGCTCCCTCTGAATGGCAGCAAACCTCTACGGTGTTTAAGGTAGACAGGGTTGTTATATACATAGGAGTGAAGGATTTCCATCCATGTCACAACTGTTTTGATTGGAAAAGCAAGGGTCATTACTAGTGAAAAAGAAAAGCATGCTACATATTTGTTGTGTCTACTAATGCTTCTACCACATGATTTACCAAACTACCTACTCTGGTCTAATGATTATAGACTTTAATTGACCACACAGTTCACCATTTGGTAGCGGTAGGCTTACTGCCCCTGGACGTTTAATTTGTCATAATGAAAACATTTTATATGGCTTTTCTTCACTGGTTGGATATGTTCAGTAGTCTAAAGATGTACTGAACATTGTTTTAAAGTATATATTTGGATTTACGCTTGGAATTCCATTTTACCTCTAAAACGGTAGGATTTCCTATCATCATCAGTCATTAAAAACTAATTTTTCTGTTCATGTTGGTGGTAGCAGCCATTTTCTATTTCATGTTGTCTTTTTCAGAAAATAGACTGATGCCCTACAATGAAATAGCTGTCAATTATAAAGTTCCTGCTTGCAAAATCAATTTAGAAAGAAGACTGTAATAAAAATGATTGTATCTACTTTTAGGACTATAAAACCTACCTGGACTTTGTGCTTGCATTAGAAAACAGAAAGGAGCCTGCAGCTCTGCAATATATTTTCAAACTGCTTGATATAGAGAACAAAGGATATCTGAATGTCTTTTCCCTTAATTATTTCTTTAGGGTAAGTCTTTTTATACAGGTAGGCCATTTTCTGTGTTTATAGTGTTATAGCCTGTGTGCTTCTGCATGCAGATCTGCAGGGAATCACTTTAAATTACCAATACCCACTGAGAGGCTAGTAACTACTTCTAAGAAGATTTAAAATATTAAAAAAAAAAAATTCCAGAAACTTGGAAAGAATTCAAAATGTATTTTCAACATTTCATCTGCAGCTGAAATTAACTGTTTTGATTACATTTAGGAAAAATATTTTCTATTGATTTTTTTAAAAAATTGAAATTGTTCTAAGATTGCCTAATGATTACCCATTAAAATATCTTATTATGGTTCTAATTGGTTATTGCCCGTGATTTTAATTTCCACTGTAATCCTGAAATTCATGAGAGGAAATTAAAATAATGAAATGCAGTAATAGGCCTGTACAGCTGTGGGATTTTTTCATTCTGTGTATTGATTGCAAAAAGCTTTTTTCATTTTTTCATATTCTGCATTTTTATCTGTTGCTCCCAGAACAGATTTAAAACAAGCTTAAATTTTTTAGTTGCTGTTAAAATTAACCTAAGGCTTGTATAGTGTTCCTCCAAATCAGGTGTTTGAGTGGTTTTTTGTTCTGGCTTGTGGTTTTGGGTTGGGGGGACAGATGTTTTGTTGTTTTGTTCTTTTAATAGATACCTCAGATATCTTGGGAAGGGAAATGTCATGCAGTAAAATAGTATTTTTGCTGTAGATGGTTTAGGCTGTTACGAGTATGTTGCTTTTTTCATATACAAGATCCATTCAGTGATACCTATTCAGACACATGGACAAGCACTTCTATTTTCTTTATGTGGATCTTTGTATTATAACTATAAAAATAAACAATGCCATTGTACTTAGCTGTATGCTTGAAGTATGATAAACAAGGTACATACTTCATTCAGCTCATTAAGTAAACCATTCAGGCCTGCTCAAAGCATAATCTTATATCCACATTATTTCTGTATTCTAATAAGTCTCCAGTTGAATGTGAACTTTGATAGTGACAACAACCATATAAATTTGTAACCACAAGACTTCTTATCTGGCAGACCTTTTCTAAAAGGGAAAGGCTTTTTTTAAACAAGAAAGAAAACAAAAACACCAAAAAAACCCACAACTTTTTTTTAATTTTAGTGCCTTGGAACCATCAGATAATTTAGGGTGGAATGGACCTTTGGAGGTCACCTGCTCCCACTGTCTGCTCAAAGAAGGGCCGGCTTCATGGTTAGGTCGAGTTGCTCAGCCTTGTCCAGGCGAGTTTTGGGTATCTCCAAGGAGGGAGACTCCGTGGCCTCTTTGGGCAGGGTGTTCTGGTGTCTGACTGCCCTGACTGGGAAGACTTTTCTCTGCTCACACTTTCTCCCATCTTCATCTAATTGGAGTGCCTCTTGCCCTTTCATTGTGTGTCTCCAAGAAGAGTCTTGCTGTGTTCTCTCTAACCACCTGCAAGGTAGTTGAAGGTAGTAATTAGATTTCCCCCACCACCCCAGCCTTCCGTTCCCCAGGTGCAATAATCCCCATGTCAGGCCTCTCCTCTCAGCTGTGCTGTGCTTTAGCCCCCTGAGCATCCTGAGAGCCCTCCAGTGGGTTCCCACTGGTTTGTCAGTGCCTCATGAAGGGGAGCCCAAAGCTGCGAGGTTGCACCTGGAGTACTGTGTCCGTATGTTGAGTCAGGAGGAATAACTACCTCCTTGAACCTGCTAGCTATGCTTGTAGTAATGCAGCCCAGTATTTATCTGCCTTCAACATGACAAGGGCACCCTGCAGATTCTTGTTCAACTTCTTGTGCACCAAGACCTCGAGTACCTTTCCTGCCAAGCTGCTTCTAGCCAGCTTGGTGATGCAGCTGTTTAAATAGTACCACATTAAGAGAACTAATAGTAGGGAATACTGTTTTGCTCAAAATGAGAAATGCCCACCTATGGCATGAAGTGGGAGAACTATTACATGCATGAACAAAAGCTCAGGTAGACAAATACACTGTCTTCCTCATGTTGTTATTTGAATAACCAGAACACAGGTTCCATTTGCGAAGTACTTGGAAGTGTGAGTAGCCACACTGCTTTGTCTGTCTGATGGTTGGTCTTTTTCCTTCTCTCTTTACCTAGTCTGTATTTCACACTTTGTCAGAAAGCTGAAGCTCCTGGTTTGAGTGTGTTACTATCTTAAGCTTTGAGTGTTGAGTGATAATATTCAAGTGTCTGCATATCCCTTTTGCAGAGCGCTCAAACACTGGTCATAACGGAAGCTGGATTCTTACTGTAGTGACTAATAACTGTGAACCTAGAGATGTGTATCATGGATTATGCCTTAACTCACCCCTGTCTCACTTGTGGAAGAAAATTGATGGCAAGCTGTACCACAAATGCCTTGTTACGGAGCAATACAGCTTAAGATGCAGAAACGTTTAAAAAGTTTCATACGGTTTCAATATAATACTGTACTACATATTCCTAAGTTTTCTATTTTTTTTGTCCTAGGCTATTCAGGAACAAATGAAAATCCATGGACAAGAACCAGTTTCTTTTCAAGATGTCAAGGTTAGTTTTACTGAATAGAGTACTACATGAAGTATTTGAATAAGAATTTCATAATTATGTTATATCGTAGTTTCTAGGTTGTTATATATTTACTTGCAGAGTAATAGAGATGATCTGACTTGTTCTACTTATAGGTTTGAAAATGTCTTTTTATTCAGCAGTTGCTTTGTAAGAAATCTGGTATGCAACTGTTCTAGTAGTCTTCTTACTAATATACAAAGTACCTGTTAAATACATGTTGCCGTGCTTTACAATGGAAGATACTTGGTATGTCTATTTTATGGTTCAGGATCATCCCTTGGAGAAGGGAGAGGGGCAGACTGATGCAAGAACGGTCTATAAAACTCTTTATTACTGCCTACTTTACATTTAGCAGTTTTAGTACTTAATTAAAAAAAAATACAAGAGCTTCTATAAAACTTAGCTCATACAAGCAATCTGACTTTTGTGCTTTCACTTTGAGGCCAAAGCCTCCCTAGAAAAGCAAACTCTTACTTGAGATGTGGGAGCTGAGCACACTGACCCTATCTCTAGCCAGTTATTGTGCTTTGTATCTTAAACTGTTTGGGACTTAACAGTTATTTTTTTGTAAATCAGTGCGGGTGGCACTAGTTACCCAAAGATCATTCTGTATATGGTATAAAGTAGCCATTATTCTGCTCGTTAATGTGTGGGGTTTTTTTTTCCCCAATTTTAACTTCTTTCATAGGATGAAATCTTTGATATGGTGAAGCCTAAGGATCCTTACAAAATCTCCCTTCAAGACTTAATCAATAGCAGTCAAGGAGACACTGTTACCAGCATCCTGATTGATCTGAATGGGTTCTGGACGTACGAGAACAGAGAGGTCCTTGTGGCAAGTGATAATGACAACACTGCTGATGTTGATGATACATGACTTTGAACAGGAGCAGACTGTATCCATAGAGATATCCCAATCTGATGCACCAACTCTTGGAAGCTGGAAACGTGAATTGTCTGAATCAATGCCTCTTCCATTTTACTTCCCCTCCCTTCTCCCCATGCTCCCCACGCTGGCCATGTATAATACAAAATGTGGTACATACAGGAATCACAGAACTAATTTCTGAAACAAAAAAAGCAAGTGTTGTTTAAGGGGTAAAAAATAGCTGCTTTTTTTTTTTTTTTTTTTAAATAAATATTTTTGGACTTTTTCCTGGTGTACCAAGCCCTACTGTTATTTGAATACCCTATTCTGAATGTGAATCCACCCAGAAAGTAAGGGTGTGGTTCTTGGTCTCTTCAGCACTGGCCTGTATCCACGTGGCCATCCCAAGCCTCCTGCTGCATTCTGTATGGCTTCCTCTAACAATAGCACTGTTGAGCAATCTTTTCTAGAGGCAGTTTTCAGTAAGATGTAGAATTTAGGCCTTCTTCTTCTGTGTGTGTCCAGCTTTTAAGTGTCTAGTAGAAAGAAGTAAATAACTATTGACTGAATAGTTACCTAATTCTTAAGAGGTTCATTAGCAGAAATAAAGCTGCACTAGTTTTAGGTCTATTTAAAACTAATCCAAACACCTGTGTAAAGGCTTTCAGCAACTTAACCTCCCGTGCAAGTATTTTATGTAATTTAACTTAATTGTACAGTTGAGCTACAGCAGTAATTAAAACAGTAAAATTCAACTTTCAGATAAAACTACACTAGCTCCAGGCCAGAGATGGTTGCAGTCCTGTGTTACTTACTAGTTTGAAGTAATGCTGAACACATGTATGTTAACAAGTATTACATGGGATTGTAAGGAAGGGGTAGCAGTAGTATATCTTGAATTTCAGTGCTTGAATATTTCACCAGGCTGTGTGACTCAGTGAAGATGACAACAGTGAACAGGCACGTGCCGCTCTGTGCAGGTGTAGTTTCAGAGACCAGAGAGTTTTAAAGGAAAAGCCATAGCCAACTTCCAGTTCAAAAATTATATTAAATATAAAATAACAGATTAATGCATTTACAGAAAAATTAAACCATTATGAAAGTAATCACTTTCATACAGTTTGCAAAAAACTGAAGGAAGGATTAAGTTAAGGCACAGTGAGTTGTACGGTATTTTATACAAAGAAGTTTAAACCCAAGGCAGTGAGAGCATTTCTGATGCAACAGATAGTAAGGAGAAGGGATAAAAAACCAGCGCAAATGACATTAATTTCTTGGCAGAAAAGCAAAGCATCCTTCAGCTGTAGAGGTTTTATTCTTGAGCTATGTGAGGCTTTCTACCATTGACAGTATAAGAACTCCCAACAAGCTCTTGTTCTATGTATTCCCCAGGTGTAGAATCAAGTTCTCCCTTGCAGCTGGTCTGGGCTAAGGAAGGATTTTACACAGCTGTCTTCAAAAAGAGGCAAAGAACAGAGTATCAAAACAGGTGGAATAGAGCTGATGATTGAATCCTCCTCAGAAGATTATGTATAGTACTGGAATGCTAAGGGCAGATAAGAGGAGAAGGAATTTGTGCTCTCCAGGACACCAGTTCAGGCAGAGGGCTGGCTGAAATACAAACTGAACTCTGGAAACTATTAGCCGAGTTACCTGGCCTCTGATGTTACAGCTGGCTCTTTAGTTAGTAGGTAGTGGGACCAGGGCCAGGGACACATGATGAGAGCCAACACAAAATTTCACTGAAGATTTTTTTGTTTTAGAAATCTCAAAGTCAGAATTAATGTATCACATGGTAACTAGTGCAGGTTCTCTGCTCCTTTAGCTACAACGATTTTCTATAGAAAGTGACTGGGGCACTGACATCTGGTTGTCACAAAGTAAACCATTCACCTTTTACAAGCCACAAGTAGAATGATACCCGTTGCAGTACAACAGCCTTAATTGGTATCTAGGGCTACTTAAAAACTCTGGAGGGATCTGCATTTCACTTAAAAATAAAAACTACTGTTGTTGCAGTATTGCAACAGTGTGTTTTGTTTATTTAAGAAAAATGAAGAATCCCAAGACTAGTTTTGTTGATTTCTAGTTATTTACGTATTCTGTGTTAGAGGGGGGAAAAATATCTGCAGTGGCACATCCCTTACTGGTAATTTAACATTAAACAAATAATCTCTTTAGGTTAATCAAGTATACTGACTCAGATAATCTATGTCCAAAAAAGTTTTCATAGTTCTAGATCAGTACCATACACAGTGTCCACTGCATTCAGTATAATTTAACAAGACTTTAGTTTATTTCCCAGGACCATTCAGAGCACTTAACGTATTCAGGCAAGTGGGTCTCTTAATTCTTGGACTGAGAACATCTTACACTGATGCTAGTTCTGTACTCTGCTGCAGCACGGAATGGTGCAGATGAGCACTATTAGCCTCCAAGAGTGCTGGTAGTTGGTAATAAATTCTTACGGGTGTTTACGACCTCCTTTAAAGTTGGTTTGGGTTTTTTTTTAATTAAAAAAAACCCCGAAGCCAGTGAACCCCTAAATCTAATCGACATTAAATCTAATGTTATCTCTCGTGTTAAACAACAACAAAAAAAAATACATGCATACAATAGTGACAATAAATAGGGGAAATTGGACGCTATTATAATGACTTTTGAGTTACAGGATATTGATTCCTATTAATCTATTCATAGAGAGCTGAGTTGCAAACAACGTGCAAATCAGAAATAGGTGTTTAGAAGTAGGAAACAGCACTGCGTCTGCAATCCACAGGTGTGAGAGACACAGCAATTCAAAAAAAAAGACATTTTTACTTGCTTTACACACAAATCAGCTCACACGTTCAATTTTAAACCAAATGTTTGTAGTGCAATTTTCATTTTAACTGAAGTGCCAATCTGGCAGAATGCCTCAGCCTTTATTAGGCAGACAGACTGAACAGACATCACCCAGCTCTCTCCTGATCAATAAGAATGCTAGAAGTTGTACTTCACTGAACTAGTATAATCCTATTTTTCCTGCTTCTTATAGCCAGCTTCTGACACCTGACACTTCCTATTTCCTACACTATACAGAGCTTTACACAGAAGGGACAGGAGCTACATCTTGTTTATTTTCCCCAACAGACTGGCAATCATCTCCCTCATTTTCAAAGTTTACATTCACGAATGAAGTGCATGCTGTCGCTTCAGGCTGGTCTGTCTGGACAGGAGCTTCAGCTTGTGGCTTGTTCTGCTGTTCCTGGTGCTGTCTTTCTGCTTCTTCTGACATCCTGTTTTCCTGTTCCTCCTCTTCCTCCTAAAAATAGATAACCAGATTTGTAAGCTACTATCTACTGTCTACCACTTACATTCACTTTAAGTCTTCCCAAAAGAGCGTACCAGCTCCTATTTCAAGCAAAGGACATTTTTCCATTAGAAAACGGTCACTAGTTGATCATGAGATGAGATATATTCCAGAATTTCCATTATGGAAAAAAACACCAAAATGGTATTAAATAAACACAGAAGAAATATCACATGTCTAGATAAGTAGCTTTTAGTCAATAGCAATAGTGATACGTCTACCTTCTCTCAGCTTTTTTAGCTCTTAATAATAAAGAGCTCTAAAAAATAAGTAGTAAAGCTTTAAATACTTTTCCTGTCTCTTCCAAATGAAGATTATTAAGGTGGGGGTTTTCTGCATAAAGCACTGGCTACCTATCAGTCATTTCCAGTTATGGTTTAGAACAAACGGTAACATCATGTTCACTTTACCATTGACACTTCATCGAACAAGTTGCAGTTGGAAAGTACATTCCTAGCAGCCACCTCTATGCAGTGTCTAGTAACTGCTCCATCCAACTTTCTCACACTGTTAACTTTAAAATGCATTGTTCAAGAGAAACAGAAAGAGCAGTGGTCAGGACCCAGCCAGTTCTAAGACTGACGAGCTGGTGAGAAAAAGCTGATGGATAAACAAGCATTAATCACACGTCAAATGAAAACTGAAGACAAGCTGAAATAGAGGTTCTAAAACTTCATTTTAATGCTGGAATACAAATTTCATTTTTAAAAATACCAGGGAAGGCAAGTTGGGAGAAAAGGAGTGCAAGAACCCTATCTTACACACATACCTCTCTCTTCATTCTGTAATACTCATCAATGGCATATTGGTATTTTGGTGTGCTTATCCCCAGAACAGATGCAATCTTTTCCCCAAGAAAATCACACACTAAAAAACAGAGGTTTACATATGATTAGTATCTAGAAGAAAATTTCCAAGCACGGTTTTATTTTAAAAGGTATCATCATTTTTCGTGAATGGTTTTCCATAGTCCTACTGCACTGAAAAGACAAAACCAAAATCTGCTAGGCTAATCTACTTTTATGTAATTACCAGCTCAATATACTAGTAACTGTTCTTTAAGATAAAGAATGAACAAAAAGAGAACAACATGGAAATCAATGAAAAACTAGATCGTGGTAGCGTTTGTTTGAATTCTACTAGTTGTAGCTTTGGATCTAGGTTTGTTTTCCAGAGGATCGGTTAAAGGATGAGCCTTTAACTGAACTTTAACTGAAAATTAAGGTTAGACAAAAATATACAGTGACCAACTGTACTGGCACTTCAGTCTAATGGTACCAGCAAACTAGAAAGTTTTTTATTGATGTATGCATACTTCAAGTCAGTAGCAGTTTTAACAGTGATGTTCTGTGTTGCTTATTAATGGAGTAATAAAATATTTAGGTTTCAGCTGTCTCGATTTTCAAGCTGGAGGCCACATGCAGTGCTACTTTGCTAAACAAGTAGAGCACGGTCAGAAGTATGGAGTGAGGGGGTTTGTGTCAGTCTCTTTGCTATGATGATGGCTACAGCATTGGTTCTTGAGTAAAGGCAAGCAAGAAGTCAAATACACTGCACTTCAAATTGCAAATCTGCCCTGAGGATGCAGATGAGTTAGTCATCTTCAGGGAAACAAGGTAGAAGTTAGCAATTGATTGTTTCAGTGAATATTCCCAATAACCAATTTTATAGATATCCTCGCATCCAGAGCTCTGTGCAAAAGACCAGTTCAAATTACAAGTGTAAGAGGCAAAACAGGAGTGGGAAGAAGGAAGCACTCATCTTCAAATTCAAAAAAGACTTCTTTAAAAAAGAACGCAGGATCTACCTTTGGGTATGAAGAACAGATATGACCAGGAATAGAATTACACTGTACATTAGAGAAAAAGTGTTTCTAGAAATAACTATAGGTTAATTAACAGAATAGATAGACAATAGTTTTTTAAAATATTCAAAATCAGGTGTACAATGACAGAAACTCCACAATATTTGTCAAAAAACCCAACAAAGATACTTTACACCTTGCAAAAAACACAGGCTAGGACAAGCATTTTTAAAACTTTGCAAAATTTTATGAGGTGCACAGGTTAAATAAACTTCTATGCAGTGAGTTTAAGACTCTTGGCAACAGTAGTTTATTTTGTAACCTCAGAAGTCTTGTAAAGCACAGGACTAGATGTGCTCTTGGGATAATTTCTAGTTGTCATCTTCATAAAAATGGTCAGGTCAGTTAGTCCAAACAGCATTCTTTTCAGATAACATCACACCAAATGGTTCCATACTGTCGTGGTTTAAACCCAGCCAGCAGCCAAACACCATGCAGCTGCTTGCTCACCCTCCCCCCGCCCAGGGGATGGGGTTGAGAGTTGGAGGGGTAAAGGAAGACTCATAGGTTGGGATAAAAACAGTTTAATAATTGTAAGAAAATAAAACAGTAGCAGTAATAGAAAGTAAAAATGGGTAATGCACAATGCAACAGCTCACCACCCGCTGACTGATACCCAGCCCACAATCCCCAAAACCCAAGATCCTGCAATCGCAATCCCGGAAGCAAGAGACAACCCCCTCCTTCCCGGCCGCCCCTCCTCTACATACTGAGCATGATGTTACATGATATGGAATATTTCATTGGCCAGTTTGGGTCCGGTGCCACTCTGGCCGTGCTCCCTCCCAGCTTCTTGTATACCTGCACACGGGCAGGACATGGGGACTGGGAGAGTCCTTGATCTCTCAGCAACAACTGAGAACATTAGCATGTTATCAGCATTCTGCTCATGCCAAATGCCATACTGAATCCAAAGCACAGCATTATTCTAGCTACAAAAAGGGAAAATTAACTCCATCCCAGATGAGACCAGGACATATACAAAACCCAATAGAACTGTGATATACTCCCTCGCCAACACTACCCTAGGAAAAAAAGGGGAAAAAAATTGTTTAGCAAAAGGGTATTTTCTGGTCGTTATTCCATTCAGGAGTTGTTGATTGAAAGTTAAAAAAAAAAAAAGTGCCTAAGGCAATAGAATATGTCTCTACAGATTAAAATACAGGTTCATTCATACTTCTGGAAAAATAACCAGTAGCTCACAAAGATGATTTACAGACTGTCAAAGCGACTTTCAATACTCCATTACGGGTTTGCCCAATAATTAAATAAAGCAATACCTGATAAGGTTGATGTGGCAACTCGCAGCATGTGAAACCATAAGTAGGGTCCCCATGTGAGTGTCGTCTGTAAGAATAAGAGTAATATGTATAGCTGTACGTTCATGGCACATAATAATACATTCAAAAGGTCAAACAGATGGAGAAAAAAAGATGTGCAACATTTCCTGTTTGCCAGCTACCACAGGATTTTTGCTTTAAAATAAGTCTAGACCAGACGTATACGGAGCAAGGTATCACCATAAGATATAAATATAATCACAGTTTACATCGAGGAAGATTTGTTTCACTGCTTTTTGTTTCCCACTCCCAGACTTGGGAAATGACAAGCATTCAACTCGATCCAAGGTAACTCCTATAACTAGAAAGACCTTTCCATGTTTTGAATTCCATCAGACCAAGAAGAGAAGTGGGTCAACCAAGTAGTCCCTTGTTACAATAGTGAGAGAACTGCAAAAGACTGTTTAAAACCAAACCAAACCTTCAAAGTGGTCCCTGGGCAAGAGGCAGCTTCCAAGTATTTACAACCAGATACAAATTACCATTTGGAATTGCACCTGAAGAATTATGGAATGATGGACAGGGTTGACAAGAAAAGGGCCCGGGGTGATGCGAACAACGAGGAACACAAAATGAACAAACCAGGGCTCAAGCGGGGCCACCTCAAGCATTTGTGTGTAACTGAGAAAATCTCTCTAAAGTGCCTGCACACGAAGGCACGCAGTGTAGGAAGTAAACACAAGGAATTAGAGATCTGTGTGCAGCTGCAGGTCTGGGATCTTGTTGGGATCCCAGGGATGCAGTGGACGGCTTGCATGGCTGGAGCACTGCAGTGGGGGGATACAGACTCTTTAGGAAGGACAAGCTGGGAAGACAAAGAGGGGGAGTTGCCTTTTGCACAACTATGGTATATTCACTGCCACAGAGGAACTACTGCAGCCTCCAGACAAACTGAGATACTTACACATAGGAAATTAAAAGAAAATTTAGAAATTAATGGGTGTACGTAGGCTATCCTCCTCAATAAGGAAAGATGCTCCATGTCTTTCAAAAAAACAAAACAAAACAAAAAAAAAAAAACAAACCAAGCAAACAAGTCATGTAATAAAAAGAAGAAAAGTAGATTCCAATCTAATGGAGAGAGAGGAAAAGCCGTAGGCTTTCACTTTCTGAAAAGGCATACTGAAATTTCATAGTGAACTTAAATACGTGTATAGTTAACAGTCTGCTGTATCCAGGCAAGATCTTTGTTATGTATTTCCTCCAAGTAAAGATCTCTGTGGAGGTACTTACCTTGTGGAAAGTATCAGTTAAAAGTGTAGGCTTTCATTAATAAAAAAACATTAGATCCACTCAGTTACATATGTATTTATAACATGTTGCTAAAAACTGCTTGATAGTAACCATTTTCTGTGATCTTATTTAATAGATATCTGTACGGGACAACCACAGCTACAGAGACTGGTTGGTATCGCCTCAGTACGCATGTACGCAAGCTACAAAACTTCAGTGCTTCCCAAGCATAAGCCTCTACAAATCAGTCCAGCAAGAAACTGACTGTCAAGCCCAAAGTTGGGCAGGCTGAAAAAAGCCAAATGCTATATATTTTTGGCAGTGGGTATGGAAAATGTCATGCCAAGGTAAAAGTGTAAGCAAAACCAGCTGCTATCCTGCTTGCACAAAAGCAACTCCAGCTTGTTGATTATATGCTCAGTTGGCAGACAGGCTAACAACAATCATTTCAGAGTTTTTCAGTCGAAGAAGTCTAGAAAAGTGCTGGAAAAGCGTGTTGCCACAGGTGCAAATAATGGTGTTGACAAGGGTCTGTACAATTCTTCATAACAAGGTGACATGGTTCAAAAGCATTCACACAGTGTGCCGGACAAACAAGGGCCTGCTGTGCGGCTGTGAGCAAGAAGCTACAAGAGCCCCCTTAACATTTAGAAGTGAAAAGACAAGCTGAACTTCAATGTGACAGAAGTAACTCAGACACAGAATATCCTAACGTGTTTGTGGTAACACAAACATAGGGGACATCTGAGGCTCGGCAGGCACAGAGGTTCTACTTCTACTGTTCCCTCACCGCAATCAAAAAACCAGTTTGATATGTTAGGAGGGAGCACTTCTAAGGTCAGCTTCATGGAAACCTCTGCCTTCTGACAAAGCCCAACTGGGCACTTCTTCACCCCCATCAAGAAAGGCTTTGCCAGTCCCCTCCTTTTAGAAAAGGAGGATTCTTTCAAGTGTCTCAAAAGACAATATAAAACCACGGGAGAAGCTACTTCACACAAATTCAACAGGAGAAAGGAGATGGCTTGCAGAGTAAACCACTAAGAACAACCAGAAACAAGGGAACACACCCAAGAAATAATCCTTTTTTTTTTTCCCTCCCTCCTCTTACTTCCTTAGGGTAAGTTTGAGTGGTTTCCCAGAGCATGTTGGAGATCAATGCAGGAATGGCAAACATGAGGTGAGAAGAGGCACTGGAGAAAACCAGAACCATTCCAGTGGTACAAACAGGGCTGTTAGGTAACAACTCAGTACAAACTAATCCTTCTCCATGAAGTAGCTTTAATGCACTGAGTGATACTGGAAAAGAGTACCCAAGTCAGGTCCTACTAATGTTCAGTAAGAACCACATACCCAGATACTGTATGACAAACTCCTTTGGCCAGAGAAGCCTTAATGTTCAGTCTTTAATCAACACAAGGACATAGTAATACTGTATTTCTTGACTGGAAACAAGGGGCAGCAGTATGAAACACAGGACACTGGTTTATTATAAGAGGACAGTATTTCTCCTGCCATCAGTCTCTTTAGTATACATTTCTACAATGCTTAATTATACTATTCAGCTAACCTGACTTTATTTCTTTGTTTAAAATTGAAAACACAATGGTTATGACAATGGGTTTTTGAATTACAAAAATTCTTAATGTACCATTTTAATCTAAGCGCTGCATTTTAAGTAGTAATGAACATATTAGATTCAACCATTGGTAAAATCAAGAGGGCTCTGGTTCAACAACAGAACATGATTTTGAATGGGGCTGCCGAAGGAAGCACATGTGCGTTCCCTGAAATTTATGAGTGCACCATGTTCCTAAACAATCCACATCTATATTTATTTTTGCCAGATTTTGGTCCCTAATAACACTTGGACTTTCCAAAGAACATTGACAGAGAAAATGTCTCTGCCATTTTGACAGAGAAAATGGCAAAATGAGGAAAAGAATAATTTCCTGACTTAAGAAAAAATAAATCCTGTATTTGAGTTAGTATACACCACCAAATACATACTTTCCCATTGTTTACTGTGCCAAGGTGCATTTTAAATTAGTTTAATTATTAACTGGTCATTGCTATAATAGATCCTTCAGTGTATGTTGAACTGTGGTACCTAAGACAAGTCAGTGAAAGCAAGATCAGAAACACACTCCCCCCCCCCATACTCCATTAAAAAGCTTCTACCATATTACAAATAGCTGTTACTTGGTCAGTCACTATTTTTCTCCCTCATTCCCAAATTCTTAAAAGAAAATTAGAGTTCAACAGTCCTCAAGGGAGGACTTTTTGCTATTTGAAGTTAAGCTTCTTTTAACTACAGGATATCAAGATAATCTTCCTGCAAGAATATGACTCAATCTTTCTGAGCACTGAAGGTTAATAAAATTAAATCTCTTCTGGAGCTTTGTTGCAGAGATGTTCTCAGGATGAATTCTAAGGTTATCACCAACAGTTATACTGCTTACAATTGCTCTGCAAAAACCTACACTCCACCTTCTGCCTATTCATGTAATAGGTGAATGCAACAAAGAGTTTATAGCAAGCGGCCCTCAAGGGTTAAACAGAACAATTATCTTCTAGAACAGATTAGAGAAATTTAATTACTACAAAATAAAGTTTTGGTGGACAGAAGCAAAAGGAGATTTACATATAATTCATAAGCATCTAAACTGCAGGAAAGAATAGAAGACTCAGATAATATTAGAGCATGTATGTTATTAAAGAGTTTAAATTTTAATTTGAGAACACGCAGATACTACTAAATGCTATTACCTAAAAAATCCAGGGAAAAAATTATTAAGTATACCCTGTGTTCTGGACTCATTCTTAAAAAACAAAACAAAACACAGCACAACAGAATGGACACTCCAGTCCAAGAACGTTAATGATCTGAGTGCAGACCTATAGAAGTATCAGAAAGCAAAATTTAAGACCCAGTTCTTTTTGTGAATTTTTTATTGAGTGGCAGCAGTCATTCACACTGAGTGCTTTGCTTATCACATTACCAGAACATATACATGTCACTTTGCTTAGTGAGAAAGACATTGTCATTGTCTGCTTAGCTCTAAAACACAATTAAACCAAGGTATTTACTGAAGATGTTTCTTTGCAACATGGCAAAATATTAGTTTCCCTTAAACTAATTCAGAAGCTGCCAGGATGCCGATACCAGCTGAGCTTTGAAATTTCATGATTAAAGTTTCTATTCAAAATATTAAATGTGTTTTTTTCTAAAAATAAATTGGACCAGAAACAGCTATTACTTGCAGCATACTTTTTCGTATCCCAACTGAGATAACAAGTTTTAGACATGCTGGTCTCAGCAAACTGACTATTTAATTGCTTTTATAGAAATCCTACCACAAAAACATTTTTAAGGCAGCTGTTGGCTAAAACATCAAAGCTCAGCTTGGACTAACATTTCATCAATTGACTGGCTCAGCTGGGATATACAAAGCATGCAGTAGATCAGGTAAACTTCACTTAATGGCAACCCTTGGTCTAATCAAGTTTATTTTGTCAAGGTAAAAGGCAATACATAAGAAGGCATACTGTGCTTCACAATAAACTGTTCTGGTTTGGAAGGTCCTTTTATTAAAAAAATCTAATAAAAATTAAGGATTTCATAAACTATAAAAGGAGAACAAAGCAATCTTAACTGTGCCATACAATATACTTTTTGGTATTCAGAAAAAAAATCCATATTAGGAAAACAGGAGAATGATCACACAGCACTCCCAGCTCTGCTGCACCTTTGAGGGCTCTTTATTTAAGTGGCCATTTGAACAGCAGCATGCATGTCTCTGGCCTCACAACAAGTACATCAAGGCTCGTGAGACTTCCACCACCGCACCACAGTGGAACTCTTCTACTGAGAGGAAATGACACAAAAAAATATACAGATCTGGTCCCCTGCTAATTATAGCTGAGAAACAATCTCTTACACGTCCATGGATATATGACATGACCTGCATAGTGGGGAACAGATCTGACTCTGAAGATACCTGAGCACTACCACAATATTCAGGAAGATTCACAGTTCCTCCATTTCTTCAAGTAGATCCTTAGGGAGGAAATAAACCCCAACACCCAACAAAACAGCTTAACATCTACGCATTGTTTGGGAGTATAATACATTTATTTTCAATCTATAAACTTCAGGTGTATTTTATACTGATGATATCCTACCTGCTCTCAGGCTAGTGTTACTTTTCGTTGTGTGCAAGAACTGCTGAGAAAGAAAGAGATAGCAGTACTATCAATCCATCCAGGATGAAATGCAACAGCTTCACCTATGAATTGCTAAGAACCCCAACCCCAGATGAATTCCCATAGTCTCACTGCAGCTCAGTCCTCAAACCACTTTTTTTTTTTTTTTTTTCCTTCAAAATAAATTCATTTTACAGAGGGGGAAAAAAAAAAACCTGATTAACAGTTCTTCCCAAAGCAAACCCCTTTCACCGATTTTCAGAAGAGAATGAAGAGAAAGTTAGAATCTTCACTGCAGTCCCTTCAACAAAGCCAAGCTCTCCCAGGATGGATGTGCATATAAATAAATACAGGGCCTACTACTGTACAGTAAATAGAGCGCTTCAACCACAACATTTCTTAATTATGGATTCCCAAACAATGGTGCAGAAGTAATTTCAACAGCAATGTCAAGCAGAAAACAGGGCACCGGCGTCTGTGCATGCAAAGACTCTTACCTGAAGCGTGGGAACAAGCAGCTCTACACCAGCATCTGCCCCCAGCATGCAGCCAGGCAGGACGGCTCCCGGCTGCCTGGCTGCTCCCCGGCACGCCAGGAAGGTCCCAGCCAATTTCAGAGCCTCCACCTCTAGCTCAGTACAGGCAACCAAGCCCAAACCAGGGCCAGGAAGGGGCCCTGCCAGCAGGCAGGGAATCGGACTGCAGACCCACTTTACTGGAGTAAGAATTGTTGTAGGAGGGTAGAGAAAAGAGGTGGTTGGGACACCAGTTTGTGGGCGTGTCATAAAAGGAACATGAGACTGGGGATGTGGAGAGGTGAAGAGATGGATGCAGATCTTCTCTGGGGCTCACTGCCAGAGGGCGAGGAGCTGCTGCAGCCACCACTGGCACACACAGCTGTGAGCTTTGTAAATACACAATCACTACAAAATAGACTGTCAGACATACCAACAGAATAAAACAGATTATATATTTAGTTTTACCTCTAGGTATAGATACGATCATGGACAAAAAAGGTATTTCAGCAGCTACAGTACACATTATGGGACACAGCTTTAATTGTTAAAATTCCACTTTAATTTGCACCAATAAATGAAGACTCCAATCACAGGTCACAGAATTGTAGAATGGTTTGGGTTGGAAGGGACCTTACAGACCCCCTAGTTCCAAACCCCCTGCCAGAAGGGCAGGGACACCTGCCACTAGGCCAGGTTGATCAAAGCCCCGTCCAACCTGGCCTTGGACACTCCAAGGATGAGGCATCTACAACTTCTCTGGGCAACCTATTCCAGTGTTTCACCACTCTCACAGTGAAGAACTTCTTCCTTACATCTATTCTAATTCTACCCTCTTTCAGTTTAAAATCATTACCCTTTGTCCTATCACTACATGTCCTTGTAAAAAGTCCCTCCCCATCTTTCCTGTAGCCCCCTTTAAGTACTGGAAGGCCACTATAAGGTCTCCCTGGAGCCCTTTCTTCTCCAAGCTGAACAACCCCAACTCTCTAAGCCTGTCCTCATAGGGGAGGTGCTCCAGCCCCCTGATCATCTTCATGGCCTCCTCTGGACTTGCTCCAACAGGTCTATGTCCTTCCTATACTGGGGGCCCCAGAGTTGAACACAGTACTGCAAGTGGGGTCTCACAAGAGCAGAGTAGAGGGGGAGAATCCCCTCCCTTGACCTGCTGGCCACACTTCTCTTGATGCAGCCCAGGATAGGGTTGGCTTTCTGGGCTGTGACTGCACGTTGCTGGTTTATGTTGAGCTCCTCATCAATCAACACCCCCAAGTCCTTCTCCACAGGGCTGCTCCCAATCCACTCATCACCCAGCCTGGATTTGTGCTTGAGATTGCCCCAACCCATGTGCAGGACCTTGCACTCGGCCTTGTTGAACTTCATGAGGTTTGCATGGGCCCACCTCTCCAGCCTGTCAAGGTCCCTCTGAATGGCATCCCATCTCTCTAACATGTCGACTGCACTGCATGGCTTGGTGCCATTGGCAAACTTGCTGCAAGTGCACTCAATCCCACTGTCCATGTCTCCAACAAATATGTTAAACAGCATCGGTGCCCACACCGACCCCTGAGGAACATCACTTGTCACTATTCTCCACTTGAACATCCATCTGTTAACTACAACTCTTTGAGTGAGACCATCCAGCCAATTCCTTATCCACCGAGTGGTCCATCCACCAAATCCACATCTCTCCAATTTAGAGACAAGGACATTGTGCAGGACAGTGTCAAATGCTTTGCACAAGTCCAGGTAGATTACATCCCTTGCTCTTCCCTTATCCACTGATGCTGTAACCCCACCGAAGAAGGCCACCAAATTTGTCAGGCACAATTTGGCCTTAGTGAAGCCATGCTGGCTGTCACCAATCACCTCCTTATTTTCCATGTGCCCTAGCATAGTTGCCAGAAGGATCTGCTCCATGATCTTGCTGGGGACAGAGGTGAGACTGACTGCTCTGTAGTTCCCCAGGTGTTCCTTTTTTCCCTTTTTAAAAATGGGGGTAATATTTCCCCTTTTTAAAAATGGGGGTTATGTTCCCCCTTTTCCAGTCATTGGGAACCTCAGCTGACTGCCACAATTTCTCAAATATGATGGATAGTGGCTTAGCCACTCCATCTGCCAGCTCCCTCAGGACCCACAGATGCATCTCATCAGGTTCCGTGGATTTGTGCACCTTCAGGTTCCTTAGATGGTCTCAAACCTGATCTTCTACAGTGGGCGATTCTTCATCGTCCCACTCTCTGCATTTGCCTTCTGCAACTTGGCTGGAGCAATTGCTGGTGAAGACTGAGGCAAAAAAGTCATTGAGTACCTCAGCCTTCTCTATATCCCAGGTGACCAGCTCTCCTGTTTACTTCCAGAGAAGGCTCACGTTTTCCCTTTTATCACCAACGTACCTATAGAAGCTTTCCTTGTTGACTTTGACATCCCTGGCCAGATTTAATTCTATCAGAGCTTTAGCCTTCCTAACCCGATCCCTGGTTGACCACACAGATGAACTTTATATACATGGACTAGACAGGCCTTTTAAAACCTGTTTTTCATATATATGAATTACACAAGTTTTCCTTTATTTCTGCAAGTCATCTGTTTCTTTCTCTCCTATACTTTTATATACAAATAATCCTATACGTTTATAATTATTTCAAATTGCTGGTATGGTAAAACTAAATTACAGGTTCAACTCTCCACTGTCACCAAACATAAGGAAACAAATGCCTTCCCTGCACATTTTTTTTAAACAACAGTATGAATCAAAGAGATACTAAGGAAATGTTATTAGAGGGGAAAATGCTGGAGAGGACAGACAGGAACTGTGATGAAATGAAACATATTTCCAATTAAGTGGGCTACTTTAGTGGAGGAGACTCCAGGACAAAACTTCTCAGGAATACTTCTCACAGATTTCTCAGTTCCTAGAGCAAATCACATTAATGGAATCTTTAATATTAAATAGTAAATCAGATTTGTGACACAAAAATTAAAGTGTAAAATGTGGGTATTTACCCAGTGAAGCTAAAGTAGCAATTTATCAAGTAAAATACCTACAGGATCTACAGGCGGCAAGAGGTCTTTTTTCTCTTGTTCATCTTCCTCTTCATCTGTGCTATATTCTTCCATTGTTTCTCCACTTGCAAAATGAATAACTCTCCTTGGAATTTTCTTCTTCTTTCCTATGACACCGAGCTCCACATTCTCAAAGCCTCTCTCTCCATTTGCAAGTTGCTATAAAGAAGAAAAAAAATCATTATCTCAAGTACATTCTTCTGGAACTGGAAAAGTTCCCCCATAAAAAAACTTTGAGATATTTAAAATATTTTAGATTGATTAGCATATGCTATGGATATTTGCAAGAGCTCAGCTGTAGGTAAATATAAGACTAAAACAGTATTGCTTGCAGATACATAAAAACTGATCTCTTCACTAAAAAAAACCCAAAAGTTAAATGTCTTCACTTCAGCATGGACAGGTGGTATTAAAAACATCTATTCTCAAAGAACACTGTGTTATGTAGGAGTTTACTAGTGGGACACTTTTTCTTTAAATAATCTGATGAGTACATAAGTGTTAATATTTAAAAGTATTGTTGGTTTTGGAATGAATATCTAGTGAAATTAATGAAGTAGTTCACAGGCTGTAGCCACCTCTTTGCAAGCTTAGACAGACACCTCTAGCACAAGAGACCTGAATGATGGATAACTAAACAGTCAGGATCAAGCTTTAAAAAGATGCATCAAGGAATCTGCCTCTGTGGGCTTTCATCAGCAATCACGATTAATACAAGGGACCATGTTAAAAGAATGACACTTAGTTTTGTGGCTAAAGACATACAAAAAGGAAAGTACAATGTCTGGTTTTGTTCTTCCAGATGCTGAACACTACAATGCAGTCTTTGGGTCACAAGCATCAAAAAAATATACTTCTAGCTCAAAGGCCAATCAATAATTCTCTAGGCTAGTAACATGTTGCCAGAGAATTTTAGTAAAGTTTTGTATTATTTTTACCAAAACAGAGCCTTCACCTTGGTAGAGCTTTTGGATATTACTGCATCAAATGCATAAAACCGTTTTGAAAACACTTCTGTCATACAGAGGACACAGAAGTTAGGAAATGCCAGCCACACATTTTTAATGTACCACAAAGGTTTTTAAAAATGCATGAGCTCATGCAACTTAAAACCGCAACATAAGGAATGAGATATGTGTATCATATCTCGTAACAGAATTCAGGTTGCCTAAAACAGGCATATTCCAATTTTTGCCTTCTTGTCTATGCAACCTTAATTGTCTCCACAGAGACAAATCAAAATTATTTATAAAAGTATGAATTTTATCACATAGTTGTTAGACATCCCATAATCACTCCAAGCACAGCATCACCATTCCCGTCTCTTAAACTAGATTACATAAATTAGCTTTACCATGCAAACAGGCTTGGTTAGCTGGGAAAGCCAGTGGGCATGGTCGAGAGGGGCAAGAGGGGGCTGTGGGGAGCAGAACAGCTTCCTTCATTCCAGGCACAAATTTTTCTCGTGCCCACAGAGAAGGGGGAGGGAAGGTAAAGATCACATGCCAAGCTCTACAGCGTGGAGAGGGAGCACACACATTCATCGTCTCTCCCAGCCCTCGTACCACCGCGTCTCAAAACTGCAAGTCATTTCAGCTTCCCCTAGCCCTTCTTTAAGCTACCATGGCACATTTCGGACATTTTCCTGGAGGAGCAGAGCAGAATCAAGTGGCAAGTTTTCAGTGAGGTAATTCAGCTGAAATGGCATTACATTTTCACACAGGATTACATTTTCATGTAGAAAGACAAAACTGACTATCCAGGGCCCATCGCACTCTCTCTGATGCGTTTCAGACTTGGGAACAGAGCAGGAGCAGAACAGCAAAGCTGCAAAAATACAAATGCTGAAAACAGGGAAGCAACCTAAGCACGGGGAGTGCTCCTTGATGCCACTATAGAAGTGGGTGCCACTTACTGCGACTCAGTTCTGTATTTTTGGAATAAAGAACACAACAGAATCAGCCTTTTATGAACATTTCATGCTCCTTTCTTGGCATCGTACAATGATGCCATTTTTCATGTTTAGTCGCAGTGCTGAAGAGCACTATTTCTTGCAACACAGCATCACAAATATTACTGTGATTAGTAACAGCAAGCAACATGAGCCTTTCCTTAGAGGTCCACTAAAGGCACAGCTTTTTCATCTGATTTTGGCTCATTTAACTCAAATGCTTCAAATATTTTAACTTAGAAAAAATTGTAGTTAATATTTAAAGTTTAAAAAGCAGGCTTTAATTCCATGCACACCCATCCCACTCTCCATTTACACTACCTACAACAAGCAGCCAGCTCCATGTAGCTGGGCCTGATACAAAGTTTCCAATAAATGCAGTAGTTCAAGACAGTAAGGATTCCTCAAGGAACGATGAATCCAGTTTCCCCTAGCAATCTGGTTCAGAGTCCTAAATTATTAAATAAAATAATAATAAATAATACATATCAGCTGTTGTTTTGGTTATTACCTAGTCAACAACCTGGATGTGGGTTTTAGTCATCACTGTGGCATTTGTCCTTTCAATTTTTACACACACAACATCAATAAAAGCCAACTCTCTCAGCTGCAAGCGGAAAGTTCAGCATCAGTAAATTTTATTAATCTTTCCAAAACTGTGGCAATGCAGATCTATTCTAGAATTGTCAGCTAGACTCACTTTATAGCTCAAGTGTTACAGTATCTCCTGTTTGAGTCTTTACACTTTTGATCTTCCTTGACAAATTTGATCTTCTTTTCCAATTCAAAAAGTTGTTATAAAGACCATTCCTCTAGTCCAGGGCTTTGCCACCTCGTTTTTTCCACACATTTTGAAAGACTCAGCCTTTGTCTTAACCTCATGACATAAAAGTATTTACTTTGGCTTCTATTCTAGCAACTATTAGACACAAAGACCAGTCACCCTTAAGCTTTCGCTACACTAGCTAACACTCTGAAGGTACTCCGTGAACACTGTAAAGTGACTTCCTTTTTCTTTTAGATGCCCTCTTGGAATTTTTCTTGGCTTTATGGCACCTGTACAAACATCACCTGTCAGGAAGTCCGCATCTGAAACTGCTGCTCCTTGTTTACTCTCTTTACATGCACTCTTATCTCACCCTTTAGACGGAAACAGAGAGAGCAGGGCACATTTTGACGGTGTTGGTAAAATACCCAGCACAATGACATTTCAGTCCACAACCAAAATGCAAAGATAAATAAACTACAATTAAGCATAAGGTGTGCCAGGACACCTGCAGGTAAGCTAGGAGAGCTCACACAACTAGTATTAGGTGATGCAATAACACAGAGTTTCATCAAGAAGAAAAGCAAAAACTAACAGATGGAACAGAGTATTTACTTTGACGTCTTTTAATCTGTTGGGACTCAGGTATCCTTGCTAGAGCTTATGACCCAAAGTGCCAAAGTCTGTGATGTGGACTCTCCCTCAGAAGGATGAGTAATTCAATTTGCACAGATCTACTGACTTGACAGTGCTAGTTACTAGAAGACTGGTAATAGTTAATCAGAAATATTTCTACTCATGCTATCCTGCCTGCCTTACTGATTGCATCTGTGTTACTTTTTTTTGGCTAGGGCTTTTTGGGGGAGGCTGGTTGGGGTTTTTCTGCACATTGCTTGACTTTCCACCTTTGTGTTTCCACTGAAATTAAGCAGCATGAGTCTTTCTGAAACAGAAGACAACAAAACAACAGTCAGAAGATGACTGTAAGAAAAGACACCCTTGTAATAACAAGCCTTGGAAAGGCACCATAATCAGTGAAGGCATAAAACGTTCAGCGTGAAGCTGAGGCCACTGCGAGGGACGTCTGTAGCAGGGGTAGGAGAGCTCCCCAGGTTACAGTTTAATTAAGAGCTGCTGTCCCTGACCATCTCCACCGCCTTGGCGAAGTTGACAGCGTGGAGGGAAGCTGAAACCTCTCTCCGTTTAATATTTATCAGCCTCGTTTGTAAGAGGCATTGTCCGCCGGTGAACAGGAGACACCGGAGACACGCGCGCCCGTCGTGCTGACTGTAATTACAGCGCGCTGGGAGGACGGACAGACAGACAGGCAGACACAGGCAGGCGGGCTGACCTCCTCCCCCCGCGGCCAGGCCCGCCGCGCCCCACCGCGCAGGGCGGAGAACCGGCCGGGGCCGGGGGCGGCTGCTGCTGCTGCTGCTGCTGCCGCTCGGCCCCGGCGCGTCAGGCCGCGGCCGCGCCCCGCCCGGACCCCCGCGCCGCCGCCCGCCCAGCCGCGGCCCGGGCGGCCTCGCCCTCTCCGCCGGAACCGGTCTCCGCCCGGGCCGCGGGCGGCAGGGAGCGGGGAGAGCCCGCTCCGCCGGTCCCGGCCCCGCTCACCTGCTCGGGCTCCATGGCGCAGGCGGCAGCGGCGGGGCCGGCTGCGGGCGCGCAGTAGAGGGTGATGGCGGACAGCCCCTGCTCCATCCTCCCGCCCGCCGCGGCGCCGGGGGAGGGCGGCAACGGGCCCGCCGCGGCGCCCAGGGAGGCGAGCAGCCGGGCGGCACCGCCCGTCACACCGCCCGCCGGGGCGGCGCTTGGAGCCCGCCCGGGCCTGCTGGGCCGCCGCCCGGGGCGGGGGGGGCCGGCGGGGCTGGCCGCGCTCCGGAGCCGCGGCCCACCCGGCACAGGTGCCCGCGGGGGTCCCGCCGCCCGGGGGCATTTTCTGTTCTCTGCGCAGCAACCTGAGCCGGGAGGGAGAGGGGGAAGAGCGGAGGCAGCCGGGCTGCCAGGCGCAGCCATGCTTACGCACAGAGGGAAGAGTCCCCACTCAGTAAAGGGGGGAAACTGCGTGGTGTGGGGAAATCCACGTGCCATCTTCCTGTGAAAATCTGGAAAATAACAGAATAATATTTTGAGAAGTGCATGAAGTTACTTGACAGTAGTCAGGAGTCCGCTCTCAAAGGGCCGAGCTTGCTGAGCCTTTCAGTGCCTGCTGTCCGCGCAGGCCATTCAACGCATCTTAAATAATAAACCACGCAACAGGAAGAAAATGCTAAACCAAGGGTGCCTGGGTCCCTGGGACGTGTCTGGGTGAGAAAATAACGTTTATTCCCAGCAGGCGGGAAGAAGCGTTTGCTGGTAACTGGTTTGCTCAGGCGCCCCGGCAGAGCCCTTGTCCCCAGAGCGGGGCTGAGGCCTGGCTGCGGGTGGGGGCCCGGGGCTCCCCGGCCAAGGGCACATCAGCCAGTGCCCGCTGCCAGGGAGGACAGCTGGAAACACCCTTTTTATGGGACTGAGGAGTAATTTTTTTTTTTATTACTTATTTTGAAGGTCTTCCACTTTTACAGAACCACCACCATCTTCAAAAAGAGTAAACATGCAACGTGTGCTTATTTCTATATTAGTGTGCTGGATGGCAAAGCTTATTAACATCCTGTAATCAAAGAAAAAGGTGACTGGGGGACATCACTGTTTTTTAATCCAGGGTGCACTTCTAAAACAACTGCAGAGCCAAGTTTATTTTATAGATTACTCTTGTCCCCTGGCTCCTTCTAGTGGCCTTCCCCGGGTGCTACAATTACCTGATTACCTAAACCCTTCCTTACCTACTTCAGTTCTCAACGAACTTCATTTAGCCACACATCCAGACACCAAACAGCGAACTTGTCTGAACAGCAGCAACAGCTTCAGTAAGATGGACACAAAGGCAGACCTCAGTCTTCTTAATATTTCCAGTGAAGTTTGTTTGCCTCTAACTTTTCAGGCTTCTCGTATGCCAGAGAAAACTTTCCTGCAGAGCATGGTAAGATCCTGTGCAGGATGAGTACAAGAAGCCTAATACAAGTGGCACTTGCTGGTAGTGTTTTACATGGCCTCTCCTAGCTTGATCCAATTAAGTCTCCAGTTCAGAATACCAAATTGAGAGAACATACAGAACATGATAGTTTCTGTTCTGCAACAACTCTAGGATTTTCTTCTACACCTTGTGCTCTGCAGGATCCAGAGACATTAAAAAATTATTGCCCACACTCCCTAAGATTGTTCTTCTATGAAGCTATGGAGAGGATTTTAAAGGTGCTCCTATACAGTTGGCCTCTTAAGTGCCTCCAACGTGATTTTTTAAAAAAAGAAAAATCAAAACCTAACTTAATATCTTTAGGCAATTATTCCGAGCAGGCTCCTACATGGCATGTTAAGGTAAGAGCAATATACTACTATTTATTCCAGTGTATACCTTAGAAATAACTATTGACACATCTTACTATCAAAGGAAATGCCTTCCGAACTTGCACTTGCCTCTGCCAACACACAGCTACTGCCAGCTCTCTTCCTGTCTGGTAGCAGTGGTAGTAGCTTGGAAATGGTGAATTAAAGACAAACTAAATGTATGCAGTGAATTGAAAATAGAGTTAATTGTTGGTAACTTGACGGTCTGACTGAGCCTGTCCAGAAGCACAGTGCTTCACTGTTCATCCTCAATGTGCCTATTCATGTTTGATTTCCGTCAAAATCATTCAACTTAACTATCTACTCTCCCCTACTGACTGCATTCCAAACCCCGGATTTGCTACTCTGCTGCATAGTTTTGTATTGCTCAAGAACTTAAAATACTATAAAAAAAAATATTAAACAGTTTTAGTAAACACAAACCACTTAAGTAGCTGAGAACAGGTCCTGCCAGAGCTGGTGATATGCAAGGACTCATTCTTTTGTTACATTTAAAATATTAAGACCCTGCTTAATTGATCCTTTTACAGACTGATGCTATGCATAAAATGTAGTGCTGTAAGTGAATGGCATACCTAGAGTTTTCAGCATCCTCCACACATTGAATACACATACCACTAATTGCACAGAAGGTACTTTCACATTATAAGCTAAGTTACAGCATACCTTGTTTTATTAGAAGGGCATAATTACCTATATAAGCCATTCACTGTCAGCTGTGTGAGCTACCACCTTTCTCAAGAACTGGCAGAGGGACACACTTGTTTTAACTATTGCATTTCATTTTTATCTTATTTAAGCAACAGAGATGGGTATCCATTTACAACCCAAGCACTCTGCATTATATTAAAATAAATTCATAACATAACCTCTTGCCTGAAGGGTGAAAGATCTTACTATACTTGGCAAGATGTATGTTGGATTTCAAGGTTCATCTGGTCTACCTAGTTTCTGAAGTGTAGATTCCACCCTCGAGACCAACAACACAGTAAACTGAAATATTAAAAGAAGAAATGCTATAGGAAATTAAGATCAGACTGTAGATGAATTGGGGCATCATGCTCTGTCAGATACAGCTTCATGTTGTAGCTTAAATTCAGCACAATTTCATCTAGTATGTGTCAGAAATTATCTCCACAACAAAATAACTGCTTAATTGGCAGCCTAGTATGAAGATTATCTGCATACCTGTATGGTTTCAGTCGCTTAATTCTTTTGTAGGGAAAGAACGACAAAATTCTGGAGAACAAAATTTTGTACAGACCCAATCACAGCACATCTACCTTCTAAAAATGCTCCAAGGAGAACATCTGAGCAGCAACAGCACATTTCAGATACTGAATTATTCTTACAGTTTCTATGCTAAATTAGTTACAGCAGTCATTAGGAAAAAAAATCAGGAAATCATCTCATACTGATAAAAGGAGTTAATGAAAACTAAAGAAACAGGCCATTCCCTTGTTTATAACCACTTAAATTTTATTTTACAGTGTATTTGTGACATTTTATGTTACTATAACCAAAGATCAGGGTTGCTTACAAATATAATGGCTGCCATTTGATGTAAACAATTAAAAAGTGTCTCTAAATATTAAAATTTTACATCATGATTTTGTTTTATTAAATTGAATTACTCTTTGTGCCATCAGGTATTAGTGGAGAGGAACTAGTTTAAGCAAAAATAGTTTTCAGAAATTAGACATAGAAACTGAGAAGCCTGAATAAGATTTCAAAAGACCACTCCCCCATCACTGTAAAAAGGAAGAAAGCAAATTCTTTCACCGAAGTTGCAACAAAGAGTCAACCAAGTCCATTTTTATTAAGGCTGCTTTACATATTATTGAATCCCATCATGCCTTTCATATTCCCAGCAGCACCTTGTTGAAACTGTCTCATCATTGACTGCAATCCTGCCATGCCACCTGCAGAAAATAAGTGAGAATATGGATGTTAATTAACTCTGAAGCACAGCTATCTAGCTTGAGGCATCAGAGCACACACCCCATTTCAATAATACACAAATGCAAAAGCCCAAGACTGTCAAGCCAGGTTTAAATGGCTATTGAAAGTGGACAACTGAGTAATTACAGAAAAGTCTGCAAAAAACACCAGCCTCAAAATAGGTTTTAAGATGACCTGTGCATTAAGATTTAGACGAAAAACCTTGAAGGAATGACCGTTATAAATTAGTAAGGTTCCAGTATAGAAGTCTTGTCCTAAAGCTACTCTTGTCAAATTTAATTATCCGAGGCAAAGCTTAGAAGAAGGGAAGTTTAGGAATAGATTTGTTTTACCAGTCATGCTTCAAGTCATCACGTCACTATTTCAAACACCACTCCAATTGCTCATTTTGAGAGCTGAATTCAAATGAAGAGACTAGATTAAAAGCACTGGTAAGTGCAAAACATTCATAACAGACTAAACTTTCTGGTTCTTGTTACAAAACCTAGAAATACTTAATACTGATGTAATACACACATTCTTACATCACCTTCCTCACTTCTATATTTTAAATGCTCCACTGTAATTGGTAGTCCTCTCAAAGCTGTAAAAAGCCAACACGTACCCATATGATGAAGAACTCTTGGATCCATCATCTTTGCCATCTGTTGGTTCAGTTTGGCCAACTGAGATGGGTTTACATTCTTTGACATATCACCGCCTGAAAAAATTAAAGCAGCAATCATAAGAAAGAGGATTGATATATCAGACTAAAAATAAATCAAAATTTTACCTCCTACCTCTAGATTCAAATCCATTCAAGTCCATGATCAAAAGTTACATCAGCCACTTGAAAGTATTTAAGGATCGACATTCCCTGTGCCCCACATAACAGACTTGTATTGAGTATTGTAGTAATAATGAACTCTACATTTGTAAGGCAAAAATACAGTTCTCACTACTAAGTTACATATTAGTGTCATGAAAAACGGAGCAGCTCGTATCAGTTCCATAAGAGTCTTCAAACATCATGAAAATGAGTGAACTACAACTCACTTCTCCCAAGATACAATTGACATTTTTCTATTTCCTCTGTGTTCACCCATCAAGTGACCTCCTCACTGAGTTAATGTTTTACTTTTTCTTTTTACCTTTGAAAAGCCCTTTGATGCCTCCCATCTTTTTCACCATCTGTGCAAACTTAGTGTACTGGGTCAAAAGCTCCTGAACATCTCTGGTAGAAACACCTGAACCTCTTGCTACTCTTTGGATTCTTCCTGGCTGCTTACTGAAGACTTTGGCACCATCTGTACTGTCAAGTTCTGCAATTAGAGTGTGGGAAAGAAAAATCCATTCAGTTACTGACATTAAAGTCTGTTATAGCTAGTAGAAAACTGGTTCTCATTATTGTTGAGAATTTAGTTTTGAGCCAGAGAACAAAAAACTACTTTTAGAAGTAACAATGTAGAATTTTACATAAAGATATTATATTACAGGGAATAGTACTAAAAAGCTGTTATGTTCATATGTTAAACACCGTGGCAGAAAAAGTCTCTTGAATAATGCTCTCAGTATACTTGCTCTTAAGCCATATTAATAGGTTTAGCACAAGGGTAAGAGCATACTTCTGCAACAGCTATAGGTTCATCAGAAACAACACACCTCGAATCCCAGAACCCAGGCTATGTCACCAAGTGAATTTGAGGGTGGGCAGGAAGACAGATAGCAATGACAAATTAAAGGTTAATGTAACTGCTTAATTTACAATTACAGCTTTAATATCTTAAGAAGCACAGCTGCAGTACAAAAAACCACCACATTAATTTCCAGTAGAATGCTTCAAAATCCCACCTATTCTATCCAAGACAGAGATACAGGCAATTGTCAAGGTATCTCTCTAAATATTTACTTATTTGGAAAGTTTGTGACACATATGTACTCTCTGCCATTTCTGAAAGTGATAAATACTCCTCATAATTTTCATTTACTGTAGATGCATGCTGCCTCATGTCCAACTTGTTTCCAAAGAGATCTCTGTAAATAAGCTCGTTCAACAATGAGGAAAAGAAACTGCAGGTGAAGTTTATTTTACCTTGGTCATTCATACTGTCCATTATAGTCATCAGTTTCTTTAGCCTTGCCATTGATTCCTGTTCATTGCCTTTACTCATGAAGTCAGTTCCAAAACCAGGGATCATACCCTTGTTTTAAAAACAGAAAACAAAAGCTGTGTCAGAATAGGCAAAGCTAACTTTAATTAAGCAGCCAAAAATTTGGACAGCAAGTTTTAGTTCAGTAATTATGTATCACAGTAGGCAAATCATTTCATCTTTTTGAAAAACAAAGCACAGACTCTAGCACCAGTTTCAATGAAGAATTCTAAGTTTACAGCAGAAGTTTGTCAAATATAAATGAAAACAAAATTATTTTGGTGACAACTAACCAAGATCTGACTGAATGGTCCCATTTTCATGATGTTTTGGAATTGTTCATACATATCTCTTAATGTAAATTGACCTAAAATACAACAACAAAAAAAAGAAGATTGGCAGAAGTCACACTAGCATTTTGGTCTTACTGTTTTCTCTATTATTATTCTTTATATTTAGAAGGTAAATACTATGCTGCATATGTAAGGAGAAAAATAAACCTCTTCTCCACTATTAGCATGGCTAATCCATTTTAGATAGCACACACGTAAGAGTTAAACTAGTTATTCTGCACTTACAGTTATAGTCTGACAGACTTATTACTCAAAAAACCTAACTCTTATTTGTCTCTACATATAACATAAATTAACTCAGTGGTCTACATCCCTGAGAGAACCTGCCATGATTAGGTCACAGTAATACACCTGCTATTTAGGCCCTGGGAATAACTTACCATGTTTGAGCTTTTCTATGAGTGCTTCATTATCATCCAACTTTAACTCATTTACTTTATCTATCAATCCTTCAATATCACCCATACCTGGTGGGGAAAAAAAAAAAGCTCCAAAGTTGGCATTCAAAAAAAATTACTTTGACTTTCTATTATCCAATTCTAAGTGTCTTTTAAGAACAGTTGTATGCAGTACATACCAAGAAGTTTGCTGATGAAAGGCTGTGTTTTAAAGGGTTCAAAGTCATCTATGTGTTCGCCAGTTCCAATAAAAATAATAGGACTCTTTGTGGCAGCAACTCTGCAGTAAAATATATTTTATGAAATGGCCTCTTAAAAACCACCCATCTTTTGTACAACCTATTAACATAATCAGCTAGGCATCTTCAATACAACGCATACTCTGAAGTATCTTTCTTATTCCTCAAGCTATTAATGCAAAAACATCCAGCATTTAGGATGGGTAGCTGGGAGTAGTTCACAAGATGTTGCTCTAATTAGTAATTTGTAAAATATAAATTCTGCTTTGAAAAAATCCTCAGAAATAGAAGTTACATGTTTTCATCGCTGAGTTTAAGAAGCTTGAGAGGAAAGAAAAAAAAAAATCATCTCCATTTTATCCAAATATGGTGAGGCCCGATGAGACAGACGTTGATTACTTTTTCTTCAAGGTACCTCCTACAACAGACAGCAATCTCATTTTCAACACAGAAAAAAAAATCTTGACATATGAAAGATTAGAACCTTTTCACCAATCAATCACTGGCACTAGATTTTAGATGAACTCAGCTTCCAATCTACAGAAAGTATAGAACAAACACAGCAGACTTAACACATAAGCGCATGACAACTGGAACAAGCTTTTGGCATTTTTATTTGGCTCTTTAGTTTTCCACCACTATGCTATAAATAACAGCAAAATACATATGGCAGTTTAAGAACTCTAACACTTCAGATCTAAGTCAGACATCAATTTAGTAAGTTGGTGTCAGTTAACTGACTGTTTTGACAAATCATCTCAGCTCCATAGGAGCTGTATCACTGAAACACAGCTGGAGATTAGTCTTGACATGCCACCATATAAGGCTGAAGATAAAATGTAACATTTTCTAGTCAATAGTCTGTCAAGATACAGCACATGGGAAGTCCAACAAGAATCGAATTCAGGAAATTATGACTGAAGACTAATATTTTACCAAATTATTGGGCACTGGCAATCCAGAAGTTTGATTTGCATTGCAGTTTTAAGGCCATTAGACTTAACTAGCTAGTTTTTCCCCTTATGGAAAACATTTTGGGCATTAAATGAGAAGCTAAACTTTTCAGGCCAACTGTATCTATTAAATCCAAATTTGTATTTTTGGTAAAAACTCCTGATATGCAAGATGCAATAGATATCACTGCTTGACACTGTTCTCAGAAGAGAGGTTTGACATGTGACAACACACACTACTGTACTGGAAGTACATCATAGTATCTGATTGACTGACATCAAATATCAATGGGTGATCTTATCGACCAGAAGCAAGGCAAAAACATAACTGTTATCAACTTAAATCTCAGATTCTGTGCAGTGTGACAGTGACACTTTCACAGGACCGGTTTCTATGAGCCACACGTTTCATGGTTGTCCATGCATGGCCAGATGTTGGACACTTGTGTCACAATACTTACGCACTAAGAGCTCCACCTCCTTTTGCATGTCCATCAAGCTTAGTAACAATAACAGAAGCTACATCTACTTTATCTTTGAAAGCTTTAGCTTGAGCTTCACAAGCTTGGCCAATGGAAGCATCCATCACATAAACAATATTATCTGGTTGCTAGAGAAATGAGAGATACACAAAATAATCATTTCCTGCTTTCTTAAACAGCATTCATGCATTATGTTCAGTAGCAGAACTTACTGCAGTAACAGTATGTAAGGGATATGCACGTAAAACAAGAGGACAACTGTTTGCTGAACAGTATTGTTTAAGGACCATTTGAAAATTCTGATGCTGTATTACTATGTGAAGGACTTATCTACAAACACAAAATATTAAAATTCAATAGGTTTACAGTTATTACTTATATTCTGAGTGATTTGGGCCCTGAGACAATAAGCCGATTAGTATCTACAAGCAATTAATGGCTAACAACATCTTCCATTTGGTTTTATATTAAGAGCTTTAAGACATCCATTCCTCTGAAAACAAGTTAGCCATTGACAGGAGTTGTGTGGGAAGTGTCATATTGTCATGCAAGACCACAGAATCAAACAATAGCCAGATTTTTGAAACCCACACAAGAAACACCAGCTTCATTTACATACCAAAACTGTTGGAAGTTACCTAATTATCTTCTCTGTTTCAGGGCAATTATTGATTACAATCACTGAAAATTTAAACACACAGCTACACCAACCACATCAGACTGGTTCTTTTACATAGTTTTTCAATACAAAGATCCTGAAAAGTTAAAGCAGGAGCAGCGGTCTAGTTATGTGCAAGCATCCTTGAATTACAGACACAAGAATTAAAACTGACACAGAGCTATCAAGCACTGATCATCCAGCTCCTGTTTATTCATATCTGTTTCTAATTTTAATATAATTTAAGAGTTAAAGCGGTGACACATTCCATAGGAGTGAAATTAATGAAGAACATTAGGGGATAAACAAATGAATTGTAGTCAAATTACTGTAACAGAAGTTACTGTATTTCTTGAAACTACTCACAATGGCATTAGCAACTTGTAACATCTCTTCAAACAAGGAGTCTTCCTGTTTGTGACGTCCACTTGTATCAACAATGATTATTTCAAAGTTTTCATTCTTAAATTTCTCAACACCTTCTGAGGCAATAATTACAGGATCCATTTCTGTATAACTGATCAGAAAGAAAAACACACACACATATGTATATATGCATGCAATTCTTTGGTCCCAAAGAAGCTAATTCAAAATTTCATCACTTACTGTAAACTTGTTAATAGTAAATCTATTCTGATTTCAAGAGGAACTTCCTCTTATCTCAATCATGTTGGTTAAAAATATGCCTTCCTAAGCCATCTGCCCTTATCAGTCAGTGAAATTAAGTGCAAGGACTGTCTCACCTGCTGAAGACAGCACTAAGTTCTACTAGCCTGTCTCTCAAATAAGATTTAACTGAGCAACTAGACAGTACACCTCCAGTGAAGCTTAGGGGAAGTTATTTACTGGTTTATAAAAGCTATTTTAGGTCCACTGCTATCACTACTTGACAATAAAAATGAAGGGTCTGAAAATCATGTCCTTTGATCTGTAAAGATACTTCCTGAAAATCTGAATGTGTCTGGCCTATAAACAGCTATACACAGAGAACATCCTAGGGAATTATCCTCAGATGCCTGATCTCTTCTCACACTATCCCTTTCTGCTACTACTGACAGCCAATATACTGAACTAGGCAGAATTTTCATCTGATCAGAGCACGTATTCTAATAAAAATCTAAGTAATTAGACAACACTGTATGGGGGCTTGGTGTGGGATGTTCAGTAAGGAAAAATACATTGTTGGAGTTTAATCGTTCTGCAAACTGATTCTGAAAAGATGCTTACCTCCCATAAAAGGGAATTCTTGCTTTTGTGGCATTCTGCTTTAACTGGTCAAAAGCACCTGTAAGACAGGTATAGTCAAGGGACTATATAAAAAAAAAATCTAAATATTAGAGATTATAAACACATAATTAAAGACTGTATTACCTGCTCTGTATGTGTCTGCACATATTAAACACGTCTTCCAACCTTTCCTCTGATAGAAGTATGCTAACTGTGAAAAGAAATCCAAACAAGTATTTACAACAAAAACACACTAGCAAGCATGACACTGTATAACAGCTTATAAGGCATTGAAGTACATACAGAGGACACAAAGTCAAGCCAGCCTTCCTATAATTGACACCACTTAGTAACACTGTGCAAGTACCAAATGCTAGCATCCCTGTTATTTAGAAAAGTATGTTATACAAATAACTATTAAAGGCAAAATGAAAAAAGCTACTTAACTCTGCTTCTGATTTCTGTTTCCTGAGCTAGAAATAACTACAAGTGATTCCAGTTCCCATTTTATTAACCCCTGGATTCTGCTTACTGTTAATACTACAGATAGGACTAGCTTTTAGAAACTACACAAAGCAGTCAAGTACTTAATATTGAAGTACTGTAATGGTTACAACTTGTACAGCTCTATTTCTGTTTCCAGAGAAATAAAAATATTTCCATTGCAAGGACACATTTTAATGCAATGGATGGAATCCTTATTTTCTTGTAACACTCAGCTTCACTGGTACAATGTACATTCATAGAACATTTGACTGACCAAAGACAAACTTTTAAAATACAGTTTGCTTACAGAAGCCCTACGAAAGTCTTATGAGACCAGAGCAGTGATGTACTGGGTGTAGCCTACGTGTGAATCTCAGAAGCAGATGATTGAAAAAAACAACAATGGTGCATCAGTCTTTCCACAGGATAATTTTTCCTCCCAACCACCACCATAAATAGGTTAAGCATTGACTCAGAGCATTTTTTTTTTTAGACTTAAAAATACAAATCCAAATTTCCTCAATGAATTTGGGGCTGGAAGAGTTTCACAGCACCCACTCAACTGATACCACTAACACAGAGGCCAACTTCCACGGGTTGTGAGGTTGGTGTAGATAATGGAATGAGATAGGTTTGATTCATAGTACTGGTCTTAAACCCAGGAAGTGAAGAATAGGAAGAATCTTTCTTATCCATATACAGTATTGTTTCATCAAGAGTTCAGTTTAAAAAAAAATCTTGAAGGAAGTCCTACAAGCCATAACTTGGCCCAAAAGAGTATTACCTTGGACAACCATATCATCTCAGAAACCCCTCTGCAAAACAACTCTACATTGTAATGTACTCTCCTACTAATAGAAACAGTACAGATCACAAGCAAATCCTACCAAAGGAGTCCAATGACCACCACCTTCCCCAAGAAAAAAAGAAAAAAAACAAAACTAAACAAACATGCAAACATTTAGTGCAAGTTACCTTTGAACAGGTTGTTGTCTTACCACTTCCTTGCAAACCAACAAACATAATAATATTCTGTTTTCCTTTAGTAGGTGTCCATGCTTTGACTCCAGGATCTACAAGCTAAAGAACAAAGTATAATATATGTTGCAGAACTGAATTTCAGAAGTACAGGTCAGTGTCAGTCATGCTAGGTGCTTAGTTTTATATTCAGTGGAGCAAACCAATTCTAGCAAATTCTAGTCTTGTCTTAGATGCTTGCCGATTTGCAGTGAACAGCAATAGCCCGTGCAAGATATCTGTAGTATATACTGTTATGCATAATAATTCTGTAAGGGTAACAGTGTTAATGTCTTTCTAACACCAAGCACCAAAGTCAGGGTGTCCTGTTTATATGGCACAAGTGTAACAACCAACACAGAAACATGACCTCCACCCCACCACCACTGCTCAAGACGGACCTCTTCTGGTGAGAGCCCTACAGTACAGAAGACTTTTTAGGGTTGCTGCCTCACTTCTCAGAGTAGAAGTTGCATACATTCCAGAAAGCCATCATATGGGTGGGCACAGACTACAGAAGAACAAAAGACTATACCGTTAACTGGAAAGAGGACAGAATACTGATACCCAAGTGATGATTTAACCAAGCAGGCAGATTAAAGAGCAGTGTTGCCATGAACTGCTGGGTTGTTACTGAAGCACTTTTTCAAAGGCTTATAAGTAGTTTGAACAAATCTTCATTAGGGGAACAAAGGCATATTTCTGGGGCAACCAAACACAGTCCAGAAGCTAATAGTACTTTACCTTTATTTTGTCATTAAACTCCAATTGAAAAATAAGAACACCTGAACTTAAGCTGAATTTAAACTTGAAGCTTAAACTGAAATTCAGATGCCCAGGAAGTAGTTTAAATCAGAAGAATACTACTGTTTACAATAGTAAGAACCCTTACAACAGAAAACTTAACTGCAGGTACCACACAATAAAGCTTCACTGGCTACTGTGCTGCTTATATAGCCCAGGCTGTACAAGAAAAGTGACGTAATACAAAATTTGTAAGTCCTACCTTAACAAGCTCCTTAAAGACAGCATGCTGAATCATTTTTCTTTTGTTAAGGCCAGATGCCATTTCTTCAAGATCAATTGCAGACCTGAATTTAGGAAAACCACGAAACACTAATATTACTTAAAGCATCACTTTAACCTAGTAATAAATGAAGCCTTTGCAACTAGAACAGCACTCTGATTTGCCTTGAGTTTTCAGGTAGGACATATTTAAGAAGAGACATGCACTGGAGATACTACTTTTGTATGCAGGACAAAAACAGGTTTCTAAAACACTTGCATCTTTGAGACTTGCATCTACTTGAATTACACATCTGAAAATAGCCAAGGTAACTGTACTGGTCATATACACAGATCTATTTATATCCAATACAGAAGATGTAGTGTCCAGGAAGTAGCAACTTGTTTATTATACCACTCAACTGATGACAGCAACAGTTTTCTCAAAACAAGACTATAGCACCAATAACTGGCTAAACTTGGCAATAATTCTGATAGAACTAGCTAGACATTTAGTTCAAAAATGTATCTTCCTGTTAAAGGTAAACTGGGTGTGTCTATGAAAAACATATAAAGTTAGAAGTTAGTAGTTGTTCTGTAACCTCAAATTACAACTTTTACAAACATTGAAAATTAAATGCATTTTGATTACTTCACTTACTTGACATTTTCTCTGAGCTGCTTCACAAGTTTAATATTAACATCAGCTTCCAGTAATGCTTTACATACTTCTTTTAACATAGCATTTAAAACCTTTGGAGTATAAAAGAGAAATGGTTTTACAATACACAGAATTGAGTAGGCCAGTATTAGTTCAAAATAAGAATGTGAAAGTGTACTTATGACATAACCAAGGCTTTTACTAATTAAACGTATGCAGTCCTATCATTATATTGACTGCCTTGAAAGGGTAACATGGGAAAAGAAGGGTATGCACACTATAATAAAGTCACACAGCACAGTTCCTACTGCATTAAGGACAACAGCAGCCGGTATGATAGCAAGACTTCCTAAACCTCCCTGTGGGTACTCCCTAGAGACAGCTGTAGTAGAAAGCCATAAATAATCTCTTAACACAACACAGTCTCTGTAAATAAAAGCATTCTTTAAATGCAAGATGGACACACTGCTACCTGCGTTCTCAACAGATATGCCTTTGGTTTATCTGCTCTGGGGTAAGCCTTTTAGGCAAACACATGCCTCAGGAACCGAGTTTAGTAGTTCTAAGATTTTGCAAAGTGAAAAATCTTGAGCAAAAAGAGTTTTTCGAAAGTAACACCTGCACAGGTGGCCTCACTTGCACAGCTTGAGCTCCTGCAGGAAGGAAGTTTCTACTGCTGAAAAAAAAATTAATCGGGCTATATTTGATTTGGTTAAGGATTTGTCATCTCCCAGCTGAAGATCTGTAAAAACCTTTCCTCTACGCACAAGTTCCAGCCCTACAACCCTCAATAAGCCTACTTTTTAGTTACTTTAAGATACCTGTCTGCCTACCTGAAAAGAGTTTCTAGCAATTTATTTACTCAGAGGCACTTCTAAACCATCACATCAGTTATACGACCAAAAAGCAAGATGGAAAATCAACAGAAAAGACTTATAATTTCAAACTCGTAATTAAAAAAAAATACAAGTCAAACAGCTTCCAGAACCACACAGTGTGTTGGCTTGAACATAATGGCAGCAAACATAGCAATCCTCACAATTCAGACAGCAAGGTTTACATTGAAATCTATTTGTCTGTCCAGACTTCAGCTTCTAGCAGTCTAGTACACATCTGCATAGCCTAGCTGCACACATAAACCAGAGCACTCTATGTAGCCTCACGGCCTACCTTCCACCCAAACTTAGGCACGTACTGCCTCCTCCAGCATCACCTCCTCAGAACACTCAACTCCCTAAGTAGTCACCAGGCTCAAGGACCCTTTGACCATGGTACCCACTACGCCTGAGGTGATTATACAAGTCTAAATCTGGTTCTAAGTTTTGGTAGTACTATTAGCGGTTAAAACTTCTAGATAGAAATTTTACTTCAAGGAAGGAAAGAGCCTCAGGATAACATCAACCTACTTCAAGCTTCTCATCAGCCTTAGAAACTTTTTCTCAGAACTTTGCTTTCTACATGTTAGTGCCATCACATATGCATATGACATACCTCTTCATTGATAATCGTAGCATTGCTCAGTGAGCGTAATGCTGAAGTTATTTTTCTTCCAAGATCTGCTAGAACCATTTTGGCGGCTTCAAGTACAACTCAGAAGAATCTGGAAAAAAAATAAATATTAAATTTAAAATTAGTTGAAGCTATGCCTTTGCAGATTAATTATTCCAGTATCTTCTGGGTTAAGAAACCTGCTTTGCATTCCAGAAAGTGGACAAGTTTTACTTTTTTTAGAGTTATTTTTAGGAAATAGTGGCCTGAAGTTAATTTTAGGCTATCCTGATGGCCTACTTAAAAAATAGGGATACCACACTGCAATTAGGAAGCATTTCACCGTCTGGAATATTTATGCATTGAATTCACTAAGAAAGAACAGTCCAAACAGACTTCCAGAAATAATGCTAACTGCTTTTTATCTTCTAATCAGCAATATTATATGTGACAGAATAAAATCAAGTGCAATAGCCTAGAGGGTCAGCATGCTGCAAAGACAGTATGATCAGAAGCAAAACTGAACATTTTTTTATTGGTTCTATTTTATCTATCTTACATTAAAACAAACATAATTTCCCATTTCACTAACTCAAACATTTTTGCATTTTAGTAAGCAAAATTCACGTATTTAACAGCTTTACTGGAAAACCATACTATTTTTGTTCACTACAGACACAAATCGTACATATAAGCCTAAAATCATACCGCAACTTACAGTTCGGAAACCACAAAAAGTTAATTTCTGAAGGGTCTGCATAGTCTAGTCAACACGATAAACCACCTCCTATACAAGGTGGTAAGATATTCAGAAGAATACATGGCAGAAACAGCAGTCAAATTCTGAAAAAGGGCAAACAAAAATTTGTCTAAAAAGCAAAAAAGTTGTAACACTGTAATTACTGATGAAAAGGAGCACTTTGGATACTTCTTGTTTATCTTCCAATTTCACAGTTGTTTTTTCACACCAGGCTGAAACTACTCGCTTGCTGACAGCTGAATTCAGAGTCTCCCATTTGAGTTCCTCCTTTCAGAACTGAAAGCAAACTTCCCAATAACAAACAAGAGCCTCTGTAATCAAAGCAGCTGAGAGTTTGAGACTTCTCAGGACTTCCCCCACTCCCCTCTCAAACAAGTAGAGAAGAAAACAGACAAGAAAGGCTGGTCCATTTAGTAAAATGAAGAATACATTGTTAGCTACATTCTGATTTAAGAGAGAGAGCTCCAACCTAAGCAAGACAGAAAGAAGCTCATTATATATGCACTGAGATTTACTAGCTGCACAGGCCCCAGAAAGTGAGGCTTATGATTGTACTTGTTGTGTTATTGTAAGTACAAAGATCTATTCCAAAGCAGATAAAACAAGTCACCCATGCAAGCCAATCTCCAAATTCCTTTGTCTAATTGAGAGTTAATATTGCCACTAAGCTGGAAGGTCAAAAAACACAACCAAACAAAAAACAACTGCCAGTCCAACTGCTCCGATATGGAAGCCACAACACAGAACAAACCCTTCAGAAGTTTCAGAAGATGTAGGATAAATAAGTGATGCAAATATATTTACAAATGTATTTGCACATTTTAGATTTAATCTATATTGTGTGTGCAGGCAATTCCCAAGTGACATACATTACCACACCTTCTCAATATTTCATTAAAAAAAAAATAGTCTATACTTCCTAACAGAGTCTGCCTGTAAAATATTTGCAGTTCAGTATGCTAATAGATGTGGACATTCATCTTCTTTCTTTGCTGGAAGAAGACTTCTACATGAGATCTGAAGTGGGAAAACTCCCAGTTTTCCTTACATGGCACACAAATCACATTCTTGCAGAATAATTCTGAAAAAGCATTATCATCGATATAATCTACCAAAGAGTGTCAGCAAAAAAGATGCTCAAAATATTTTTCAAGCTTGTTTCCCATAAAAATCACAATAATGAAAAAAAAAAAAATACCTTTAACAACAGCATTGCATCTCAGTAAGCTTTGAGCTGCTAAAACTGCAGCCATGGAAAAAACTTAGGTCTTATATCCAAGTCTTCTAGTTAAGAAATTTGATAGAATGACCAGCATACAGCAGCCAGGTGAACATTCAGTATTTAAAATTAGTTGCCAGTTTTACGTATCTTTAAATACAAAAAGTGAATTATGTTGTACTAAACAAATGTTTCCACTGAAGAACTCCAAAGGCTTTCTCCAACAACCTCACAGTAAGAATAATGCAAATACTACGCTAAGGGGATGAGTTTAAGCATTTTAATATCAATCGCTTTCTCCAGCACATTAAGGATTTATAAGCCCTGAGAATTACTAATGGATACCAAATACAGAAATTAATATAACTTTTCACATACAGTCCATCCAAGTTGTGAGCCACACTACAAAGTCACATAAGCTGTCTTAGCGGGTAGCCAACTTGGGCTGGCAGGTAGCCAGAAGGGCATTAGCAGCAACTGCACTGCAGAATGTCTATGTGCTGTGCTCAGAGCATCCGTAGCTCTGGAGGAGCACTTTAGCTTTGATGCAGCACTCCACAAAGGCACTGAACAGGGTTAAAGCTGGCAGGGCCCCACAGTAAACAAGCCAGGCTGTACCAAACAGCCTCGTGCGGAGCAAGGCCATGAGCTGCCCACAGCTGGAGCTGCCTCCAGCAGAAACCACCTGGGCACCTCTCCACAGAGTCCCACGAGCTCCTCACTTTCTGCTGAAAAGCAGGCTTTTTGGGAATAAAGGGGCAACAGAAATAGCGGGGTTTCTTGTTAAACCACAGCAAAACAATGAAACAACTCTGAAGAGACAGACTGCCTAGCCCTGCCCCTCTGTCTAGTATAAACCTCTAACCAAAATTTGTCTAGCTAAACTAGGATTATTCCTCTTAAACACAGAGAATTCTTAAAAGATAACAGCTTTAACATATAACAGCTGTTTAAAAGACAAGCAAAGGAATACTTGCTTGCTTAAATACTTGCTTAAAGTCTATACAATACATTTATACTAAACATATACATACACGGGCTAAGACGCACTGAAAGTTTAATGATATAACCAAGAAAGGGTTAACTCAAAGGCAGAGATAGCCTGAGGTGCTGCAGTGACACTCAACCCCAACTTACTAGTTTGCACCTTCTAAAATTATCCGACAGAGAGACAAGGAACCCCCTGAGCCGCAACGGGGACTGGCTATTTTGCTTACGGCCTGACGCTCTCGTTTCCACAGAAAAAGAAAGAAAAAAAAAAAAAAAACAAACGGTACAGGTACAGCTTAGATGCGCGCCCGGCCCCACCTCTCTCCCGCTGCGCCCGGGGCCGGCCGCAGGCACCGGTCCGGGCGAGTCCTGCCCCGGGGCGGGGGACAGCCGGGGCCGGCCCAGCAGCCCCCGAGCTCCGCTCCCTCGGGAGCGGGGCGGCGCGGCCGAGGGACCTTCAGCGCCCTCGAACTCCGCGGTGCCGGGGGACAGACCAACCGGCCGGCCGGCCGTTCCGCGGGGCCCACGGAGCCCCGGTGCCCACCCCCGCCGTGCCACCAGGGCCGAGACCCCGCCTCACCCCGAGAAACCGCCGATGGGGGCGGTCCCGCTTCGCGGCGGAGACGGCGCGGGCACCCAGCGCAGCCGGGCGCGCAGCTGGGCACCCAGCGCGGCGCGGCCGCCACCCGGGAGGCACCACGGGCCGCGGAAACGTCACCACTCGCCGTCACCCCGAGGGCCCTCAGCTCGCTTCCGCTTCCGGGGGGGCGCGCGCGGGCACGCCCACCGCCCACATTAAGGTGTTCGCGGGGCAACGGCTTCGCCGGCACCGCCGGGAGTTGCACCGCGTCACCTTAAGGGCAGGGGCGGGGCGGGGCGGGGCCGCCCCACGGACGTGAGCGCTGAGCGGGCGAGGCGGGACCAGGCACGGTGCCAGCCGCCGGCAGGGCAGCCTGCGCATGCGCGGAGAGAGGGCTCTCACCGGCCAGACCGGGCATGCGCGGAAACACACACCCCCCCCCCCATCCTCACGCGGCTCCGGGCGGTGGCGCCCTCCCGCATGCGCACTGCCGCGTAAGGCGTACGCAGACAGGCGCGCGCGGCGGGAGGGCGCCCCCCCGCGGCGCTGGCCGTCGCGCGGGGCACGTGCGCTGCCGACCTGCCCCGCCTGCTGCACTGGATGCGGAACACCAGTAAGCGCGGCCCGGCCCCGGGTGCCGCCGCCCGGCAGCTGGCGGGGCCGGGCGGGTAGGCCCCGGTGGCAGGAGGAGACCCGGTGGGCGCAGCGAGCCTGAACCGTGCCCCAGCCGGCGCCGCGGCCCGGCCGCCCCGTTCCGCTGCCGTACTGGCACCGAGCGGGCCGGCGGCTGAAGGGGGGGGGGGGGTGGGGAAAGGGCGGCTGAAGCGGCCCCGCGGGATGCGGGAAGGGGCCCGTGCCCCTCCTTCGCGGGGCCGGGCGCGCGCCCACGCCTTAACGGTCGCCGGTCTGAGGGGACCCGCCGGCACAGCGGGCGGGGGGCTGCGGGGCGGGGAAGCCCGAAGCCGCCGTGCGGGCAGCCCGGCCGCCCGCCCCCTCTGGCTCTGAGCAGGGCTTGCGGTGCCCGAAGCGGTCCTCCGGCGCCGGGCCGCCCCGCCGGGGCGAGCTGGAGGGGGCGGCCTGCTGGGGGCTGCGGGCGGGCGCTGTCGTGCCGGCTGTGCGGCACAGGCGGGCGCTGCCGGCAGCAGAGCTGGGCGGGCAGCGGCGGTGGTAACCTCTTAAACTCTCCAGCGTGAAACGCCGGAGGTCATACGGCGGTAGTGTGCTCCTGGCGTATCTGCAGATTTTTAGGCGCTAGTCTTGCTCAGCTTCACACGTGTCCACAACCTTTCAGGAGTTTGAATATAGCAGTTTGAGCTAACTTGCAAGTGCTGCTTTCCCCACTTACTGTCGTCTTAAGTTGACATAGCTTTCTGTTCGCTTTCTTGTTTGCACCTCAGTGTAGTTTCACAGTGCACACGCTGTGAATTTGTAACCGAACAAAAAGATGATATGAAAAACCTGTATATAAGTAGTGCGCCAAAACTGTAGGCACTCAGCACCATGCTGAATAAACTGACTAAATGCTGCTTAGTCTGTGGGTATATTTGCATTTTACCATTCCAGATAAGAATCTTGAAGGGTGTCGTGTCCCCTGTGTCCCCCCCCACCCCCAATCCTGTGATCCAGTCTGAAGCAAACAGTTTGTGTTCTGTTTATTAATCATCGCCTGCAGGGATAGTAAACCCACTTCCTGGTGATCATGTGTTGGTTGAGAAAAAAATTGTCATACAATAGATTACTTCCCCAAGTCATGCCCTGTTGTGCTGGGGTTACTCTTCTTGTTCAGGTCTTTTGTTCCAGCACCCTTGCTTTAGGGTGGAAACGGCATCATAAGCAAACACAAGGGAACTGTTGCACAGAGGCAGGCTCTAACACCTTGTTGTCCAGGTACTTAGAGCTGCAAAGTCACTGTTGCCCTGTGGTTTGCAGCTCCCAGGGCTGCTCAGGTGGAGAGAGGCAAGAGAGATCCTTCCCTGGCATCTAGGTGTTACACAGGCATAATGTTAGAGCAGTCTGCTATAAGCAATATTTCATCCCTTTTTGAGGCCTTGTAGTAGCATGCTCTTCTTGCTAAATGGTGACTGGATTACTGTAAATAATCTTGTTAGAAGTGGTTTTCTTCCATCCAACATGCTCTAATTTAAAAATCCCATTGAATTTCATATGCAATCATTCATATTGCTTGTTCACTTAACATAAATCATTACGGCTCCCTCTACACTATATTAGTTTGTGGGATGTGCATATATGGCTTTCTCAGCTTACTGACTCTTTTACAAATACAGTAAAGCACAGGGGGAACTTTACCGTAGGAATTTTTAGCCAATGGCATGGTTTATGTGGACTTGCAAAAATCCTTAGTCAATAAATAACTTCTAAAACTTTTATGCTACAGCTTCCAAAAATTCTCATAGATAATTTCTGTAAAAGACAAGTATGCTATGGTTCGTAGCCTTTATTAGATTATGATCTCTCAGATACTTTTTTTTCAAATTATACTGATCTAGATCTGTACTCCAGATCTGTGCTATTCTTGCTTCATATTCACTCTTCATAATTAAGATACAAGCTAAAGCATAGATCAGGTTCCAAATTTTGAACTGCTTTGTGCTTGGTACATCTGAGCAAACTGTCCTTTCTATTTTTATATTATTTGCATCAGTGCTGATTGCTGCTGCTTCACTATGTGCATCATCTTAAAACTAACATAATTAGTTTTGTTGTTGCCATTCATTGGCTTTTTAGCTCATATACTGCAGATCAGAGGACAGAGTAGGCAGGATACATAGGGCAATCAGGATGAAACAGCTGAAGTAATTAATACAATACCATCTCTGTAGTGTCCTTGACAGGCCATCTTCATAATCTTTCTTGTTTTAGGATTCTTAATAGTCACTATCCATGATATTTTATTGCTTTTGTTTACAGCCTTGTGCTCTAACAATGTATACTAATTTTCTCTCTCTTTTTCAGAAAAAAATGGTTATTGTTAATATCCTGGCTGGATCCTGTGAATTTATTTTCTAAGAAATGAATTTGCACTTTGGGCATCTGCATC